TTTTCACACTTTAGAAAGTTTGGTTATAAATTTGCTGCTGCTGCTGCTTGCTGCTGCTTGCGCCTTGGCTTTGCAGTTTTAGCGGATCTCTCCCTCTCTCTCTTTCTCTTTATATATATATATACAAGTATCTGTCTGTCTCTGTCTCTAGCACGATTCATTAAAGACTCGCAAAAGTGTCCTGAAAGCGAGAGTTCAGGCCCCAGGACAGTACTCGCCCCAGAAGAGCTGTTTGCAACTCAATTTGTATACGAATTTGAATACAAGTAGGTGAAGTGTCAATGAACTCGCAACAGAGGCAGCAGCAGCAGCAGCAGCAACAGCAGCAGTAGTAGCAGCCGCAACAGCAGCAGCAGCAGCAGCAGAAATATCAATAGCAGCCACTGCCACAGAGAGATTTGCTTAGCAGGATCTCCAGCCGGAAAAAGGATCCGCCGAGGCTGTGACTGCGCTGCTGCTACTGCTGCTGCTGCTGCTGCTGCTGCTGCTGCTGCTGCTGCTGCTGCTGCGGCGGCTGCTGCGGTGGCCCCGCTCGAGTTCAATGCACTTGATTTGGCATACATTTGGCATTCGGGCGCCTCTTATCAGACGCAACCGGCTGCCGTTGCAGTTGCAGTTGCAACGTCGCAATGTTGTGCTCTCTCTCTCTCTCGCTCTCTCCCTCTCTCTCTTGGACACACGTCTTATCAAAGCAACGGTGCGTTGGCGAATGGCTTTGGGGCTACCTCGCCGGCGCCCCCAGTGATAACAGCTGAGCAAACAACTCAAACATGTTCGAGCGAAAAGCACTCAAACCTCTGAAGAGAGCCGGCAAAGAGAGCGCTCAGTTTGAGTCAAAGCCAGAGAGGAGCTTAAGCCGAGACCGAGACGAAGATGAAGTCGAAGACGGAGGCACAAGCCGAGGTCTTAGCCGAAGTGCCAGGCCGGCGAGGATCGGTGGCGTATGCGCGATGCCCCGAAAGTGGCACAAGCCATGGCCTTTAGTTGGGTTAGGTAAGATTTCAATGCCAACGAGATATGGGGGGAAAATGTAAGGAAAATGCTTGGGAAATACTAGGGAAATGTCAAGAAAATTTCAGGGAAATGCTTGGATAAAATTTGCACTTGAAAACCAAAGCAATTTGTGGGTTTTAATAGAAGGAAAAAGAGCCTAAACAAACTAAATATTATATATTTAAATTTTTTACTCTTAAAAAATATGTTAGGAATTTATGAGGAAGATTTGAGGAAAATAATCGGAAGATATAAGGAAGATATAAGGAAGATATGAGGAAGATATGAGGAAGATATGAGGAAGATATGAGAAAGATACGAGGAACATATTAGGATTATATAAGGGTTATATGAGGAATATATGAGGAATATATGAGGAATATATGAGAAAGATATGTGGAAGATATGAGGAAGATATGAGAAAGATATGTGGAAGATATAAGGAAGATATGAGGAAGATATGAGGAATATATGAGGAAGATATGAGGATTATATAAGAACCAAAAACCATCTTGAACTCAAAGTGAGACAGAGAAGTGCCTCTTCAGATCTTTGATCTTTATTTTTTCAGGTGCACAAGTCGCGGCGAGGCAATTAACTCGATCTCCTGGCAGCCCCAGGTAAAATATATATGTTCTGCTTTCGCTCCTGCCTCAGAATCATTGCAAATTGCATTTATTATAATTTCTCTGGCGGTAGAAAGTTGGTAATCAATCAATTGGCTAGATAACTTTCGCTCTGCCAGGCCATATGCCATATGCCGCTGCCAGTTCGTTGCCTAAGTCTTTCGTTTGGGGCGCAGATCGCGCTTCACCTTGACACCCTTCTGGAAGCCACTATATAAACTATATAACTGTAACAGGCTCCTCCTAGCTATGACCGCATATGGAGACCACATACTTTCGCCTAAACGAACACAAATACAAAAAAATTAACAAAAACAAAGCAACAAATCCAAGTCAATTTCACCAATTAAACTAATGTTGAATTGACGGATGGAAATTTCTTGGAAAAGTCTACCGGTCGGTGGTCTCTCGCTGTCACAAAAAAAAAATGGGAAGCGTTAAACAATAACGAAATGCGGCTGCATTATCTGTCCTCCTCGGAAAAGCGCACGAAAAGCGGCACGAAAATGCACAAGAGCCAAAATGGAAAACACGAAACAAAACAGACAAAAACAAAAAAAAAACAAACTGCAAAATACAAAACAAGGCACTCGGTCGTGACGCAGAGTGGTTGCCACTACTGACACACTGCCGAACTGGGCACTGTTGCATGCCGTTTGTGTGCCGTGTGCCTTGTGCCGTGTTGCCTGCCGCAGATCTGTTGACCATGAACGTGAAAAGTCAGCAAAGTGAAAAATAATTGATTCCGGAAGGAAACTGCCGCAACTGGTTTTTGAAGTTTGTTTTGGTTTTGGTTTTGGATTTGGGTTTGATTTCATTTTTTTACGCACGCCAGCCAGCCAGCTAGCCAGCTTTTGATATTTGCTAGTTTTCAGTGCCGTAACCGGGGAAGCTGGTGGGAAAGCTGCTTTTCCGTTTGGGTGAAATCCCCAAAGCCACCTCCATTGGTCCATTGTTCTGCCCAGCCACTTGACATTCCCCAAAGCGGCGCTGATATGTTGATGACAGTTTTGTGTCAGCAGCAGCAGCAGCAGCAGCAGCAGTGGCCAAAAGGAAGTGGAGAAATCTGAGCCATCGTATCGAACATTAGTGCTCCTCCTCAAGCTCCTCAAGCTCCTCCTCCTCCTGCTGCTGCTGCTCCCAGCTCTCCAGTTTGCATATACATGCGCCTCTAGAGTCGATGGCTCCGCAAACAATGCCGGTTTCTGGGCCACTGGCGCAGAAAGTGACTGTCGCGCGCCAAAAGTGAAAAAGCAAGAGATGAGGCCAGACTCCGAGAACCCGCTGATGCAGATGCAGGTCCTCCAACGTCCAATTGCCGTGCCTCTCAAGAGTTTGGCCAACAACACAGCCCCAAAAGTGGCATTGCTACACAGGAGAATATATTAAATATGATCAAGATTTTAAAAGAAATTTGTATATCACTTGGAAAGCTATTTTAAAAAATATTTTCATAATTTTCTGGAGCTCAATTTTCCAAAGTTTAATAATATATAAAATAAAGATTTTAATGTAATTGTTATATGAAAAAGAAACCAATTTTAAAACATTTTAAACTTCTACTATTGTGCTTAATTTTAAAATTTATAATTATTATATGTTCAATAAAGAATTTAAATTAATTTTTCTATGAATAAAAAAACTATTTTAAAACGTTTTAAAATTATTTTCTTAAGATAAATTAAAAAAAATATATACTAATATATATAATAATAATTTTTAAAGTAACTTTTTCACCAATTCAAAATTTTAAAATTATTTTCTTACTATAAAGATTTAAAAAATAATTTTTTTATAAATAATAAACCCATTTTAAAACACTTTTTAATTATATTCTTAAGCCCAATTCTCAAAGATCAACTCGTAACATTTTTTTCGAGTGCTTTAATGAGTTGCAACGTTCTCGGCGCCTTGCAGGAAGTCAATTACAGCCGGGAGGAAGAGGCATCTAACCACATAGCTCTCGGTGGATGTGGATGTGGGCCCGGGCCCGGGCCGCTTGTCTCAAATTTACAATCTCTGCCGCTTAACTTTCTCAATTGAAAATTGCATTTTAACGATGTTGATGCTGCTGCTGCTGCTGCTGCTGCTGCTGATGCTGATGACGCGACTGCCAGCGATTTCCCTCGAATTTTCCGCCGCCGCGCTCCGCTGGAGCAGCTACACACACTCTCCGGGGCTGGAAGTCGTTGCCATTTGCCAGCCGTTGACCGAAAAAAGTGTGTCAAGTTTTCGACAAAGATCAAGTACATCTCAGATAGTACGTCAAATGTGTTTTTTTTTTTTTTCATGGAGCTGCAGCGGAGTGACTGCTGCATCCGCTGGCCAGGCCAGGCCAGGCCAGTTGCCATGACCAAAATGTTCTCAAAATCATTGAAATGCAGCTTAGATTTTGGTGCAATTTCGTAGTGAAAGTGCAGCAGCAGCAGCACCAGCAACTAGTTAGAAAGAAAAATGTGTGCGACGACGGTAATTGCCGAGTTTCCAGCCTCGCTTTGGCTTTTGGCGTCTTCTGGATGGATCTAGATTGCCGAGATTGCAGTTTCCAGATTAACCGAATAGTTGTGGGTCGGCGAATAAATCGCAGAGGCTGCCTGCCAATGGCATTCCTGGCACCAAGCCCTCCTCCGGTTAGTGGGTTACCAAAATCGTGTTCTGCCAATCTTGTGGGTGCTGTGGCTTCCTGGTTGCGACCCACTTTCGGTCGCGTTGACCCACTCAACGGGCAATGGACAACGGACAACGGACAACAGACAACTGGTGAAGCCATCCGGGTCTGGGTCAGAGAAAGGGAGACGACATCTCACTTTTGCCACTGTCACGGCATCTGACAGATGCCAGATGCCACCATCGCATCAATTGATGGCTCGACGCACACCAGGTGAGCAATGTTCAAACTAAAATGTTAATCTTTGCAGCTCGACCCCCATTCCAGGCTACATGTATGTTGTTCTCTTCGTGGACGTGACCCACGTGGTCACGTGGAAGAAGGAGACTGCCCTGTGGTCGGCCTGGTGACTGTTCTATTTTCATATGCGCAGACCGTTGCCACTGATAACCCAGTATCCCAGTTAAATTTAAAATCCAAAGGCCGTAAAAGCCGTGAAGCCGTGGAACCGTGGAGCCGTGGCGGGGGAATCCGAATGCGCGCCGAAAGAGAGAGCCAATAAATCCGTTATGTTATGCATAAATCCGTCGGCGTGGGCGTCGAGCTCACTCCGATCGCTCAGCACTCAGTACTCACTCGTACTTTCAATTGGAATGGGTATGGTAATGGTAATGGTAATGGCAATGGGAATGGGAATTGGCGCTGCCCTGCCCATACGCAGGGCCATATAAAAGCGGCAACGCGGCCCAGCCGGCGTTTCTTTTAACCCAACAATGCTGAGCAGAGAGCTCATCGTTCCCGGCCTCTCGCTGGCTCTGATGGCGGCCTTGGCCATGGGCGCCACTCTGAAACCGGAACCGGAAACAGCAACAGCGACAGTTAGAAGAAAATCCCCTCAGCCGCGGGTCCCTCCCAGTCCCAGGTGGGGCGCCAACATGCAAATGCTGCGCAGGCACAACAGTAGGTGCGACCAGGAGGAGAAGCCACCAAAGAGCTAATGATAATCCCTCTGCCCCTTGCAGGTCCCGCCTTCAATTTCTGGACGGAGGATAGCGAGACGAACATCTGGGAGCACTGCGGCCTCTTCGAGGGCGACATCATGCTACACCGCGAGCTGCTGAGGAACGGGCTGCTCAACGAGCGGCTCACCTGGCCGGAGGCAGCCGTACCCTTCTACATTGATCCCCAGGACTTTGGTGAGTATATCTCCTGCAAATACACCGTCCCTTAAAGCACTTCCCTTCGCCTGGCAGATGCCAACCAGACCATGGTGATACTGAAGGCCTTCAAGGAGTACCACGAACGCACCTGCATTCGCTTCCGGCCCTACGAGCAGGGCGACAAGCACTGGCTGCTGATCAAGGGCAACTACTCCGGCTGCTGGTCCAGCGTTGGCCGGCGGCAGGGTGGCCAGGTGCTTAACCTGAACACTCCCAAGTGCGTCACCCATGGCGTGGTGGTGCACGAGCTGCTCCATGCGCTGGGCTTTTACCACCAGCAAAGCGCCACCGAGCGCGATGAGTACGTGAAGATCAACTGGGAGAACATACTCGACGGGCATGCGCACAACTTTAACAAGTACGCCCGGACGCATATCACCAACTTTGGCGTGGAGTACGATTACCAGAGTGTCATGCACTACAGCTCCCGGGCGTTTAGCAAGAACGGCAAGGCCACCATTGAGCCGCTGGTGAGTAGGGGAAGACCCTTAACCCATCTTCGTAAATCTATGTAAATTAGGGGGGGCCTCTTTTCAAAAATTTACTGTGGCAAAACGGATAAACTTAGCTTAATGAATTAAAAACCCTCAAATAATACAACATTTAAACAATTTTGTGTTGAATTTTGTATTGAAAAATATTTAGGGATCTAACAGTTATAGGAAATCTCTCGAGTGCCCTGAAAACAAATGTTCGATTGCAGTGTACAGGATGTACTGTCCACAGAATCATCAGATATATAAATAAAAGGTATTCATTTGTTAAAGAATAAGTGTCTCAAGGTAATGACATGGCGCTTTTATTTTTAATAATTTATTTAGATTTTGTTTTTCGAAATTGAAAGTTAAAACTCTGATATTTGAGCTATTTTGGAGCTATTTTTTAAATTAAAAATATAATAAAATTAAAAATTAAGAAAAACTCGACGTGAGTACTTGTAAAATTAGTTGAAGAATTTATGTGCAAAATTTCATGCCAATAGGCTCAGTAGATTTTGAGTTACCGCCTTTTAAAGTGACACTCTTCAGGAGAGCGCTTGAAACTTTTTGAAGCTTGAACTTTTTCGAGAAGGACCTTCGTTTAACTAAGCATAACTTTGGCAAATTTGCTTTGATCGATGTGAAACTTTGACAATATATTCCCAAGATATTGGACATTTATAATAATAAAAATTTTAATTTTTAAAAATTTTATTTAAACGAAAAATAATGAGTCCCATACCATACCCCTTTGGCATTAACATGAAACTATTAATAATTGTGTGGCATAGTTGGTGCTGCATTTAATTCAAAATAATACTTGGTAGTTTAAGTGGCAACTTTCACTTTAACAAAAATATAATAATAACATCATCATATATTCTTATATATTATTATTATGGGATATTATATTATTATAAAAAAAAAATACATTCTTGCTCGTCACATAATTCTTTTTTGTAACAATAGTTCTTTAATCTATTTACAAACCGTAAGACGTTATATATAACTATACATTCTAAGGGCAGGAGCTTGTGTGTTTCAACAACGTTGTCTTTACCTTTATATTCTTGCGAGGAACAGTATGTGTCAGGCTAGGATAAACGGCTTTAAGTCAGATTTGAGTGGAAAATTAACTAAAAAACCACACAAGTTGTCTAAAGCCCGCCATCCCAAACCAAGCTGAGTATTTCCTTTACCTCAATTACGAGTTCTTATCTTATCCTATCTTAGCGGAAGCCTTAACTCCACTTAGAATCTGTGATTAACCTGTTTATTTATGTATACAAGAACTTAAACCTTAGCAAGTATTTATTATATTAATTTTACCCTCTCCCCTAAGGATCCGTACGCCTCGCTGGGCCAGCGACGCGGCCTCTCCGACAAGGATGTGTCCAAGCTGAACGAGATGTACGAGCAGGACTGCAACGATAGCTCCTACCTGCTCAACTTCGATCGCTTCGGCAACTACATTGACGAGCTGATCGACTACTTCCAGGGCAACATTCAGGATCTGTTTGGATAGAGACGCCTGACCCCAATAAACGACAGTGCCGGCTAGGTAACGAAAAAGGTAAAGTGACTGATCTCGTCGAGGGTGTGGGCCGCCTCTCCGCGCAGGGCAGGATATGAGTGGTTATCAGCCAGCTGCTGCAAGGCAAACCGCAGCTCCACATTCCAAATCCGCTGAACGCCGCGCAGGCTAAAGCGGGCCAGCAGCCGCAAGAGCTGGCAGGAACGCTGGCGAAGCAAGTGGTGGCGGCTCTGCAGGAGCTCGGCAAAGTGCAGCCGCGGATGAAAGACAATCCGCTCCACCAGCTCGGCGTTTTCGGGAAGCTCACGCAGGACACAGCCCATCAAGGCCAGCAGGCAGCCGGCTAAGCGCACCGAGGCCGAGTCGGAATCAGAGTGCCGGAAGTCTAAAAAGAGAGAAAAAAGAGTGTTACCTAGTGATTCCCCCTCCATAGCCCCACCACCTACCATGTGTGAGAAAGTTGAGGAAGAGATCATTTGCTGCCAGAATGGCCACGGCATCGCAAAACTGGCTGAGGAACTGCTGCTGCTGGTGCACCAGGTGGCACACCAGCTCATACAGGCTGCAGGCAGTCTCCAGCTCCTCGATGGTCAGCTCCGGAATGCTGCGCAAAGTGCGATTCAGGGAGCCCGCCGTCAGCGGGGCAGAGGCGGCCGAGTCCGAGAGCTGGCGGTGCGACAGGAGCAGCTTGCAGGCGTACATGAGATTGGGCACCAGCTTGACATCCACATACACATTGCGGATCAGCTCGAGATCCACCAGCAGCACGGGATCCGCGAGGACAAAGGGCAGCGAGAGCAGCTGGGCCACGCTCTTGAGCACCCGGGGAATGGCCTTGGAGTTGCGCAGCGGCGCCACAATGATGCTCACCAGGTTGTGCTGCTTGAGGGAGTCAAGCTCGCCGTCGAGCAGCTCCTGAATGGAGCGGTTCAAGAAGGCCAGCCACTCGTCGTTCTCGATGGGCGGACTCTGGGACTCGTCGCAGCTATCCCAGCCGGGCAAGAGGCAGGGCGGTGTGTTGCTTTTTAGGGGGAGGAAAAGAAGAAGAAAGGGGGAGTAAGTCGAGGGAATCCTCTGGCTATATATGGAGCTCTTACTCGCTGCTCAGCTTCTCCTCGTTGGTGGAGTGCAGGGAATGCTTTAAGGCCTGCTGTGGTGGAAGTGCATTTGCCTGGGAATGGGACGGCGGCTTGGGCTGATTCTTCTCCTGTGACAACAGCTTCTCCTGTGTCACGGGTTTCTCCTGCGTGGCAGCCACCTCTGCCGCACCGTTGTGACCCAGACGCAGCGAAAAGTTGTCCAGATTCTGGCTAAGCTTGCGCTTCTCCAGATCCTTGCTGCGCGACTGCCGCACCACAGCTGGAGGAATCTTTGGCTGCGCCGGCGGCTGCGAGCCTCCCAAAGAAGCTTGGAAGTCAAAGTTGTCCTGCATGTGATTCAGAATCATGTTCGAGTTGCCGCTCACGTAGCAGGTGTGCGAGTTGAGCAGCGGCTGGTGGACAGGTGGCGGCTGGTGACTCCTCACCGCGGACAGATCCCTAAGCGAGGCATCCGCAAAGGGGACAATTACACGCTGCATATTGTCCTCCACATCCGTCTCCAAATGCTCCACATCGCTGGGTGCTATGGCATTGATGCTATCCCGCGAGGTACTCAGGTTCTCCGGCGGCGGCGCCTCGCCAAAGTTCAGGGCAGCCAAGGCCTCATCCAGATCGCCTACATCCTGATTCGACAAAGGCTTGACCTCTGGATTAGTAAAGGGCGACTCCTTGGCCGCCTCCGCCTGCGTCTCAGCTATAAAGATGCGACCCTCGACGAAGGGATGGCACAGCAGCTGGGTCCACGAGATGCGCATGCCGGGATCCTTCTCCAGCAGGCCCTGCAGGAAGGAGCGGCACTCGCTGGTCAGCGTGCTCGGCCACTTGACATCCTCGTGCTTGATCATCTTGACCAGGTGCAGGATGGAGCTGGCGCAGAACGGCGGCTGACCGGCCATGCTCTCGTAGGCGATGCAGCCCAAGGACCACATATCCGCGTGATGGTCGTACGGCTGCTCCGCCAGCAGCTCCGGGGCCATGTACAGCGGGGTGCCCTTGATGGAGGTGAGCACATGGGTGCCCATGGTCATGTTGCGGGCAAGCCCAAAGTCGCAGAGCTTGGCGTGCATGTTCTTATCCAGCAGCACGTTCTGGGGTTTGAGGTCGCGGTGCAGGATGCGGTTGGAGTGCAGGTAGTAGAGCGCCGATACCAGATGCCCGGTGACCCGGCGGGCCGGCTCCTCGCCCATGGCCCCATTGTAGGAGAGATACCTGTGCAGGTCCATCAAAGCGAATTCGGTGACCACAAAGAGGTCCGTCTTGGACTCAAAGGACTCGATCATCTCGATAACGTGCGGATGCTTCAGCCGGGCCTGGATGTCGCACTCGCGGCGCAGGTTCTTTAGCTCCCGTGTGGATCGTCCGCGCTGGAAATTGACATGTTCAATGTATACTTGTTGCTTCTGTGGATGCCACTCACCTTGGAGATCACTTTGATGGCCACCACCTTGCTGTCCTCCTTGCACTGGGCCTTGTACACGCAGCCGAAGGAGCCCTGGCCCACCAGGGAGCTTACCGCGTAGCGGTTCATGGCGATTCCAATGTTTATTTACGACTTTCCTCTGACTACAAATGAAAAGTGTGAAAAGCAAGCGACACCTACTCAGTTTATGCGTGCGACTTTGTGAATTAAAGAGCAAGGAACATCGCAAAGTACGTGTATTTAGTATAATTGAACAAGTGAGAGTAGCCAGAAAGGCAAGAAAAGCTGGCACGTTTTTCCTATTTTCCAGGAAGTTGTTTTTATTTAAGTTTGTACTATTTTCAGTGGTTTATTTCATACAATTCATGAGTTTTAAAACGCATAAACGCTTGAGGTCAGTGTGACCAGCTGCGCCTAGAAAAGAACATTTTGGCAGCGCCGCCCTCTGGCCACACTGCCTGGACTCGGGGCCACAGCTGATCGGTGCCTGTGTTTTCTTGTCCGCCGCCGCAGCGAAAGGAGTGCAAAAGGAAATACGAAAACGATTCGTTGTGAAATAAATAATGGTTGCTAAGCTGGCCACAGCCCCCCAGTGAGACGACGACGACCAGCTGCACGATGCGCGAGCCCAATCTGTATGTGATCCTGTCGCATGCGCTTATCGGTGAGTCTCTCCCCCTGTCCGGCCGGCGGGCGCCAGCTCGAGATTAATCATCGTTGCACCACCCCCTCCCACCTCCCAGGCTCCGGCTTCTTCTTCCTGTACGTGCAGCATGTGCGCGTGATCTTCGAGACGCGCACCAACATCCAGCAGCTGAACCAGCTGGAGCGCGAGGCCCTGCTCCGACGGGAGGACGCCCTGTACTATGCCTTCTACAAGCGGCTGGCCGACGGGCCGGACTTCTGGCACGGCTACGAGCAGCTGAAGAACGTCACGGACATTGAGTATCCACACAGCGTCAATGTGCTGCAGCGCTTCTATGTGCTGCCGGAGCTGGTCACGGCGTGAGTGTGTCCAGGAGCAGGAGAAGGAGCACCCTAAGGCTAATATAATTCTTTTTACAGGTACTTCTATCATGTGGTACGCGCCGGCTTCAATCCCATGGTCCAGCCCATGCAGTTCTACCTGGAGTTCGTGTGGCTGATGGGCGGGGTGACCCTGCTGGTGCTGTATCTCTACGGGACGCTGCTCAGCGAGAACGTGTTCGGTGGGATATATGGCGTGATCTCGTATGTGATGTTCCATAGCTTCGTGGCAAAGATCTACGAGCGACCCCTTGCACGGGAGAACTTTGCCTTCCCCTTCATCTTCCTGCAGATGTTCTACCTGTGCATCTGCATTGGACGCATCATTCATCGGCAGCGGCACACCTCGCGGGTGTTTATGGTGGGTCAAGAGAGAAGCTTTCCTCTTGGGAATACAATTAACTTAGCTCCTGCTCCTCCTCCTGCACAGATATTCGCCATGTCGCTGTTCACCGCCTGCGCTCTGCTCTCCTGGCAGTTCTCCACCTTCATCTTCACCACACAGATCCTCATTGTGATGACGTCCTGGAACGTTAGTGCCTTGCCCACGGGCGTGGCCAATGCCTTCGCCCTGGACTATTCCCTGTCGCATTTGGTGGGCCATGCCCTGGCCTTTGTGATGTCGCATGGCAACAGCCAGCTGCTCTGCACCTGGCAGCTCAGCGTCTCGCTGTCCGTCTTCCTCATCACCTTGGTGCGTCAGGTGCGCAGCCGCCGGCTGGGGCACACCACCCACGATCCGCTGCAGGGTGACTATTTCTCGCTAAAGTTCATCCTGCTGGCCTTGGTCTTTGCGAGCAGCATGCAGGGCAAGCTGCTGGAGCTGCACACACACTACTGCGACCTCTGGGCCCACTGGGCGCTCCAGGTGAAGGTGGGCTTTGTGGCCAACCTGTCGGCCTGCAATCCGCTGTACGCGCGCATCGCCTGGTCGGAGCTGTGGCAGCTGGTGAAGACGCTAATCGTGAAGCCGTACTGCATGTACGGTGTGGTCATGCTGGCCATGTTCTTCCGCCGGTGGCGCAAGAGCGGCGCCGCCGCCGCCAGCTCGGTTAGCGAGGAGCAGCGGGAGCGTGCCCGCAACTATGTGCTCGAGGACTTTCTCGAGGAGCATCGCGTGTCCATGGGCGACATGTCCAACCGGCAAACGGAGCTGCAGCTGCAAAAGTGCTTCCGCCTGCTGAAGAGCTGCGACTATGACTACGAGCGCTATAAGCGGGCACAGGCCCGGCTGTGCCAGGAGCAGCCGCCGGCCCGCGATGACTTTATGCAGGACATCCGGCGGCTAAGGGCGCAGATTCATCGCAACAGCGACAAGCAGCGCAAGGAGCGGGCGCAGGAGACCAAAGAGGCGGCTGGTGATCCGCTGTTTGGCGACGAGAAGCAGCCGCCGGAGGAGGAGGAACCAATTAGCCAGGAAGCTGAATCCTCCACAGATGCTCCTGAAAATCCAGATGCTCCGTCCAAATCCCCCGAAGAGGAGCAAGACAAGGGGGAGCCCACCTCCACGAACCCATCCTCATCCTCATCCGCCTCCATGCGCCGCCAGAAGCGGGTGCCTGGCTCCAGGCGCAGCAGCTCCGTGGTGCCCACGGTTAGTGGCCAGATCTTCAACCTGCACTGTATGTACAGCTTCCTGCAAATGCTCGTCTTCACCGTCATTGGCCTGGCCGTGCGCAAGCTCTTCTTCCTCAGCTTTACCCAGGGCTGCGTCATTGCGCCCACAGTGTGCTCCAAGGTGTGGTACCACCGGCAGCGCAACATCTTCTGGTCGGTCTCCCTGGCCGTCTTCCTGCTGAGCATGTTTGATCCGGGCATGGTGGTGAGTTGACCTTCTGTTTTTAAGCCCTCAAACTAAGCGCTCATACTAGTCATCCTAATCCTTTCCAGAACATTCGCGAGGAGTATCTTCCCACGCGTCACAATGCCGACGACCTGGACAGCATGCTGGAGTGGATCAAGCTCAACACGGAGCGGGATGCGGTCTTTGCGGGACCCGTTGAGATTATAGGCACCGTGCACCTGACCACCAAGCGGCCCATTGTGAACCATGCGCACCTGGAGATGCGTCAGATGGCGTGAGTGGCAGGAGGAGAAGGGTCCTTTCCTCCAATTAGAGGGAGAGGGGAAACCACTAGCTCCGTCTCCCTTTATCTGGCTTCTACTAATCAATTTGCAATCTCTCGCTCTCCTTTAGAGACCGCACGGAGCACGTGTACTCGGTGTACAGTCGCCAGCAGTCGTCGGACATCTACAATCAGTGCGCCCAGCTGAAGATCCAGTACTTGATCATATCGCTGGACGAGTGCACCAACGAAGTGCGGTGAGTAATAATGCCTTTGGGCATAAGCCTCTTGAGATCGAGTATTACATTTCCCCCTGCTCTCCTTTAGCGACGACTGCGATCTGCTGGCCATTTGGGATGACAAGCAGCCGGCTTATCGAAGGTATCCCCAGTTCTGTCACGAGCTGCTCCACAAGAATGTGCCCAGTTTCCTGAAGGTGTACGCCAATGAGAACTATGGCATCATCAAGATGTTCTCGCAGAGCGTCCAGATCAACCTCAAGCACAACAAGATGCCCGAGATGGCTATATAGGGGAAGGAGGGAGGTATGCTGGGTGAGGGGGGGAAATCGACTGTGTTGTGTTGTGTACGTAGGGATTAGCATTTTACGATGTCTTGTGTGTGTGTTGTATTATGATTACGTTTAGTATTGCTGTTGGAGAACCCTCCTCCTCCGCCTCCGCCTCCCCCTTCCGCTCCTGCTTGGCGCATTCGGAGCGCTTGGAGAAAGGCCTCCCCTGGCTGGATGCATTTAGCAGCCTGACTGGTTTCTGTTGCGCTCCGTTGCGTTCGCGTTCAGACCTCGTTTGGATCACATTCCCCCCGCGCCGCCCTCGCATTCGAAATAAGTTAATCTAGACTCCAAACTCCAAACTCTAAGCCCTTTCGTTAAGTTTAAGCTAAGCTTTTTACATTTATGTATGTATTGTAGTAATATGAGAGATGCGGGGACGAGGACGCGTGTCCCCGAGAAGCTACAAAGCCCAGACCCAAGACGGTGGCAAAGCGCATTTGCCTGGCAATAAGTGAAATAAACGATAAAGTTGAACAATCAAAGGATTAGGTTTAAGTCAGCAGAGCAAATATCTAAATTTAACTTGGATTCTTGTAATTTATATGCGCAATTTATTTTAATTTTGTATTTAACAGCCAATTTCAGAAAGTAACGTTTATTTTCAAATTTCACTAGTGCTGTGAAATGCCATTATACCTTGACGGTCTGGCAACACTGAACTATCGATAACTTTAGGTATCGCGATTAAGTCAAGTGTGACCAGCTTAAGTTAGGTCAAATATCCACAATTGTCATCGAACTATCGATAACTTTGTGTATAGTAAATCATCCAAGTGTGACCAGCTTAAGTTACAGCAAATATCCACTATTTTGCACAGATTTATCGATAACTTTATGCAGGAAATATTCTATATTACAATCTGGTCACACTGCCACAGTTTTTGTGAAAATTTTTACCAATCATTTTGTTAATTTGCTGCTGCTTCGCTTTCCCGGGCCCCCGCAGCAACACATCAAACATGCTCTATCTAGAGGACTACCTGGAGATGATCGAGCACCTGCCGCAGGAGCTGCGCGACCGCTTCACGGAGATGCGCGAGCTCGATCTTGCAGTGCAAAGTGAGTCCCCCCCGAAAACAAACTTTAATTGCAGCATTTAATCTTCTATAAACTCTCTTTTTCCCTCCACAGATAACATGGATTCGCTGGACAAGAAGGCGCATCTGTTTTTCAAGCAGTGCAAGCGCGACGAGCTGCAGCACGAGTCCATGGACACAGAGTTCCACAGCCTGCGCGGCGAGTACTTCAAGGTGATGGAGGACGCCGACGAGAAGGTGGCCATTGCGACGCAAATCCATGAGCTTGTCGAGCGCTATCTGCGCCGCCTGGACAGCGAGCTTTTCAAGTTCAAATGCGAACTGGAGGCGGACAACAATGGCATCACCGAGATCCTCGAGCGTCGCTCCCTGGAGCTGGACGGCAACTCCACCGCAGCCACCGCCCTGCTACTGAGCATGAACCAGAAGGAGAACCGCTACTATGGCGCCAGCTCGGCCAATAGCCTGGTTAACAGCTCTGCGGGCCACATGGCAGCAGCCACTGCCGCCGGCACTGGATCCACCGTGATGGCGCTGACCAATGCCGGAGCTCTGACCAGCATCTCGGCGGCCCAACTAAGTGCCAGCCAGCGGCACCGCAAGCTGGAAAAGCGACGCGAGACCATCTGCACGGTGCCCGTTCAGGAGAAGCGCGCCAATCTCAATCACTCCCTGCCCGTTGTCGCCTCCGGCTCGGCGGCCGTGCCGGGATCAAACGCTGCCTCCGCCACAGCGGCCGCTGGCTTGGCCAGCGTCACAACCGCGCAAGCCCAGGCCTCTAATCATATTGGAAGCATAGCCGCCACGCATCTTACCCTGCCCGTAGCCGTGGGCGTGAGCGTTGGTGCCGCCGGCGGCAGCCTGGCCACCACTTCCTCCCTGACGGGAGCTGCCGGTTCGGTGGTGCGTCAGCTACCCACGAATTTGGCCCACAGCGTGCTGACCACTTCCGGAGGAGGAGGCGGAGCGGCACAGGCGCAGGGACAAACTGTGGGTACCACGGCACCAATTGCAGCCGCAGCAGCCACTGGACATGGACACGCGGGACATCCCACGGCCGGCGGCAGTGCCACGGTTACCTACAACCTACAGCAGCTTGGCGGTGGAGCCTCCGCCTCCAGTGCCATTGCGGCGGCAGCCAGCCAAGCGATAGTGGCCACCCAGCAGATGCAGCAGGGACGCCGGACGGCCAGTCTGAAAGCCAGCTACGAGGCCATCCATGGCGGTGCAGGAACTACGGCGGAGTTCTGGTCACAGGCGGGCCAGAGTGGTCTACAGCAGCCAGGCGGAACGACGGCAGTGGCTGGCGGAGCAACTTTGGCCACCAGCGGTGCCGCCGGAGCCACCAGCAGTTCGCATCACACTCATCACTCCCAGACGCATCACACCGGCCACGGACATGGACATGGACATGGTCACGGGCATGGCCACCATGGGCACAGCAGCGGCAGCAGCCACAGCGGGCACAGCAGCAGTCACCACCAGGAGAAGAAGCAGAAGAAGAAGCTAAACACGGCCCTGTCGCTGCCCACGTCTCTGGCGGCCGTGCAGACACTGGGCGCCTCCACGTCCGGCGGCAATTCTATCGCCTCGTCAACCTCCTCGATGAGCGTGGAGTCGGTGGACATGCTCTCCACGGCGGCGGCGGCGGCAGCAGCAGCAGCAGCTGCGGCGGCGGCTGCAGCCTCAACGAATCTCTCGGCTGCTGGCCTGGCCCACGGATCTCTCTCCATGGCGACGGCAGGAGCCGTTGGCTTGGCGGGCAACCCCAACAATGTGGCTGGAGGCGGGGTTACAGCCGGAGTGGCCAGCATGACCCTGCCCAGCACAGCGCTAACTCCTGGCTCCAGCCTGACGATCGGCGAGAACGGACTGGTGGTGGAGCAGACGAACGAGGGCGAGTGGTCGTACGATCCCAACGAGCCGCGCTACTGCACCTGCAATCAGGTGTCCTACGGCGACATGGTGGCCTGCGACAACGACGCCTGTCCCTACGAGTGGTTCCACTACCCCTGCGTGGGCATAACGCAGCCGCCGAAGGGCAAGTGGTACTGCCCTAAGTGCACCGCCTCCATGCGTCGCCGGGGCAACCGGAAGAACTGAAGAAGCTGACCTCGCCGGCTGGGCGATGGCGTTGACGTGGACGTTTTGTTGCGCCGTTAGGTGCGACACGACGGTGGGAAAAAGTATTTAATAAATAATAAATAAAGCATCTTGTTTTTAATCAATAGGGTTTGGGGAAAAATCTAAATATTTTAATAGCAAAAGTCAGTTTCAGTGTGCCCAGGTGCATTTTAGCAACATTTTAGCCAAAAAATTTACAATATGGTCACATCTGGTTTGAGTCTTCGCTTTCTTCAAGATCAATGGTTCGAAACTTTGACTTTTTATAACAGTTTATACCAGTTTTCAGTTGCTTGCTGCTGGTTTCTGTTCGCCTGGTATCCCAGTTTGGGAAACGGCCAATTTGTATGGAAAATTTCAGAAATTTGGATGGGCTGCTGTAGGGATGTTGTTGTAAAAAAGTTGTTGTTCCCATCAAGCTGTTGTTGTCGGCAACAAATAGGTATAAATGCATAAAATGAAATATAACAGTTTATACCAATTATTATTTCTGCCCAAAAGTTTTTATAACAGTTTATACCAGTTTTCAGTTGCTTGCTGCTGATTTCTGTTCGCCTGTTACCCCAGTTTGGAAAACGGCCAAATTGAATGAAAAATTTTGCTCACTTGCATCAGTGATGCTCATCTGGCTATATTTCAATATTGGGGGTTTTAATGGCAGTGATGCCCAAGTGCATCAGTGATGCTCATCTAGCTATTTTTTTGCATTATTGGTAGAAAATGGCATCTATCTCACTAGTTGCCAGTGATGCTTATCTAGCTAATTTGCATTATTGGGATAAAATGGCTTCGCACTAACTGCCAGTGATGCTCATCTAGCTATTTTGCATTATTGGGACAAAATGGCATCGCACTAACTGTCAGTGATGCTCATCTAGCTATTTTGCATTATTGGGACAAAATGGCATCTCACTAACTGCCAGTGATGCTCATCTAGCTATTTTGCATTATTGGGACAAAATGGCATCGCACTAACTGTCAGTGATGCTCATCTAGCTATTTGCATTATTGGGACAAAATGGCATCGCACTAACTGTCAGTGATGCTCGTTTAGCTATTTTGCATTATTGGGACAAAATGGCATCGCACTAACTGTCAGTGATGCTCATCTAGCTATTTTGCATTATTGGGACAAAATGGCATCGCACTAACTGTCAGTGATGCTCATCTAGCTATTTTGCATTATTGGGACAAAATGGCATCTCACTAACTGCCAGTGATGCTCATCCAGCTATTTTGCATTATTGGGAGGCTATAAAATCGGGCTTAATGGCAGTGATGCTCATCTAGCTATATTGCAATGTTGGGAGGGTTTTTCTGATTTTTTGCTTAAATTTTTTATAAATTATAGGTAAGTATTTTAGCAAAACTGAGTATGCAGTTTTGTTAAGCTTAGAAAGGGCAACTCAGAACAGCTTTCCGAATTGAATTTCATGCGTTTTTGGCCGAGTTATGAGGGTTTTTCTCATTTTTTCTTGATATTTTTTATAAATTATAGGTAAGTATTTTAGCAAAACTGAGTATGCAGTTTTGTTAAGCTTAGAAAGGGCAACTCAGAACAGCTTTCCGAATTGAATTTCATGCGTTTTTGGTCGAGTTATGAGGGTTTTTCTCATTTTTTGTTGATATTTTTTATAAATTATAGGTAAGTATTTTAGCAAAACTGAGTATGCAGTTCTGTTAAGCTTAGAAAGGGCAACTCAGAACAGCTTTCCGAATTGAATTTCATGCGTTTTTGGCCGAGTTATGAGGGTTTTTCTCATTTTTCTTGATATTTTTTATAAATTATAGGTAAGTATTTTAGCAAAACTGAGTATGCAGTTTTGTTAAGCTTAGAAAGGGCAACTCAGCACAGCTTTCCGAATTGAATTTCATGCGTTTTTGGCCGAGTTATAAGCTATATAGCAAAATAGCTAGATGAGCATCACTGGCAGTTAGTGAGATGCCTATAATTTATAAAAACCCTCATAACTCGGCCAAAAACGCATGAAATTCAATTCGGAAAGCTGTTCTGAGTTGCCTTTTTCAAGCTTAACAAAACTGCATACTACGTTTTCAATGTCATTTTTTCTCAATTTTTGAGAATTTTAATGATGGTACCCCTTACATATTTTTGAAAAATTGGATCAATTTAATTTGACATTTTGACTAATTTTCAAATGTTCATAATTCATCCAAACGCGCATGAAATTCAAATCGGAAAGCTGTTCTGAGTTCGTTGTTTTACGCTTAACAAAGCTGCTTACTCAGTTTTACTGAAATACTTACCTGTAATTTTTAAAGAATTTTTTAAACAATAAGAAGCAAAAAACTAAATGTCAGAGGTTCATAACTCAGCCAGAAAACAAACCTCTTTTTCAAATGTTCGTAATTCATCCAAAAAGGCATGAAATGCAATTCGGAAACTGTTATTATATTGTAAACTGCTTCTTTTAGATTCATTTAATTTTAAATTAAAATTTGGCCAAAAGTATACCATTGAATAAATATTATAAGCAGCCTAAAAAACGCTTAAAACTATAAAAAAAACTGGTATGTAAAGCCTCGTTATCACTTGATAGGTCCGGGTGTTCGCTTTCCTTAAAGGTTTTTCTAAATATTTTGATAGATAAATTAACATTCGATGTGTAATTGTTCAATTGGCTTACCGCCTTATCAGCCAGAAGCCGCAAAGCACAGACAGTGCCGCGTCAATGTGACTAGATCAAGTCGACTTTTGGTATTAACCCTCTAAAATAACTTTTTATAAACATTATGAATACTAATTGTTAGGTGAATAATATTTAAAAAATGTTGATTTTATTTATTATCCAAGAATACAATAGTTTTTAATTATTATGTATTGGTAAACATAATATTTAATATCATAAAAATTAAAAGGAATTTAAAATTTACTCACAGAATATTTAGAATATGTTTTCTTGCTCTTCTTCATAATTATAATGCAGGCGAAGACTACCTAATGTAAGCCTCCAAAATAAGCTTCGGGTTTGTTATCTTGCAATATGAGTTCGTATCTAGGATTGAGGCAGTCCAACGATATAAAAGGCCCACCATCGTTGAGGGTCGTTATAGTTTGTTTGCAACAACGAAAACATGAAGTTTACCCTCTTTGCTCTGGCCTTGTGCCTGCTCTGCGTGAGTTTTCAAATAAAAACGAAACCCAGCAACATTAATTGAGTGAAAATAAAACATAATAATTGCAGGTAAATGCCTTGGTGGTGCCCCCTCCCAGCGAGGACTCCTCGCTGGATTTGGACGGAGATTGGAGAATCTCCATAGAAGATTTGAGAATCTTTGACGCCACCTACAAGGTCATCAAGACGGCTCTGCGCAGCATCAAGGGACTCAACTGTGTGTTCAAGTGGGTAGCCGGCATCCAGGACAGTGCCACCAGCTTCAACAGGAATGTGATTGGTTGCGGTGTGACCGCCAGCAAGGATTTGACCAATCTAATCAATGCCAACATCAAGATTATTAGCACCTGCTCCAGCATCGTTAACCTGAAGAGCGAGGGCGGAGTCTGTGCCAATACCGACACCGAGGGATCCAAGATCTCCAACAGCTGCTTCATAAAGACCCTGAGGTCAGTGTATTCCCTGAAGAAGCAGGTGGCGAATGTCATCACCCTGGCCGGCAAGCTGCCCACCACCGGACCCAATGCCGTCGCCTGTGTCAACGATTCCGTCAGCACTTTGGTCACCTACTACACGGCCTTCCCCCAGAACATGGTCACCTGCTCCAAGCTGACCTCTTCTTAGGGAGATCTGATTTACACATTTTTAACTGAATAAAGCATGCAATAAAAATATTCCAAGTTGTTTTCATCTATTATATAAAAATAAGTCGAGTTTTCTGCGCGGATCAAATAACTCCAGAACGCACGAACCGATTTCCACGGTTTTGCATTCGTTGGAAAGGTCTCGGAATTTGTGATTTTTTGCAGTAAAGAAAATTCAGAAAAAATTGCAACAGAAAGCGGGAAAATCATTTTTGCATAAAGCGCCAACACTGACACATAGCATGCCATAATTCTCTACTCAGTTTATTTTATGACAAATCGAAATTGTTTTCAATTTTGAGTAAAATAAGTTATTCGTTTCATATCAGTGCAATTGGAAACCAGCATTTGTATTTAGGGTGGTAAGTTGAACTGTGTAAATTATATGGATTAGAGGTTAAATTAACCGCTCTGCCTATAGTCGAAAATGCCTATAGCACGACGTGTGAACATCGGTCTCCGCACAAGGCATGCAATCCAGCAACAAGTGTATTCACAGAACTTAAGCGAGGAGAGACGAAATGTAGTAAGGGAAAATGCCCGAATGAGACAATGCGTGGGCACACGAAGATCAACTGGTGTGCAGCATCTAAGCGGATCCCAACCAGCGTGGCAGGCTCCTAACAGCAGCCTTCCTCGACATAGCCATCGACCTCAGGACAAATTTCAAGAATCCTGAGATAGAGTGCTAGAAAATATTCGTTATCCGAAGGTGTCGCGGGTGAGACCGTGCCCCCGGTGTTGCCCATATCCGTTTTGTCCACTGGAGGGTCCCAACAGTTGTGCTCTCAGAGCCCCAGATCCCTACCAGGGCGTCAGGCCCGGACTACCGTCCGAAATTGGTAAGGCGGATAATCAGCTTACCTTGAAAAAACCCCTTATGGCAATACCACCAACGAGACAGTTTCATCTTTCCTCCATTGTCGGAACTTCCTATTTATTGAAACCATCTTTCCGCTATTCAGTTGGTCTCTAAAAGTCTTTCGGATAGGGACCACTTAGTTAGTAGTTCTTGGTGATTTTAACATCCCAGGGGCTATTTGGTCCCTAGATAATTCCATTAACCACAATACATCACAAAAAATGTGGTTTACCAAAGCACACTTCAATTAAACGGATAATTTGCCGAAGGTGGCGTAACGGAGTTCGCCTGGCTTACTAGTATTATAATATAAATATAAACGAGATAATAACATCCTTTATTAGCAAGGAGCGGGTTTTGTGCCGAACGAGAAAGGAGGGAAAATTATAATAAAATTTAAATTAAATAATTAAAAAATTGTGATATGGTAAAGTATAAATTATATTTATAACTAGACCCAGCAATTAATAAGTTTAATTATGAAAAGCTTTTTTGTGTTAGTTTTCATTAGCTTTAAATATTTACAAATTAATGTTTTCTTTTGTTTGAATTTTTCAACCTTTTAAAAATTGTTTGAAAAAATTTAAAAATTGCCTAAAATTTGTTTTCATATACTTTGTATATTTCATTATTAATTAATAGAGCTAAAAAGTGAATTAAAATATATATGATTGACAATATACTCTCAAGAAGACCTGAAATATTTTAATTTTTTAAAATCTTATTTTTTACAATTTTTTGTTGACAAATCAAAGTTTAAAAAAAACCATAACAAAGTTAAAAATGCATTAATTTCTATTCGGAAAACGTTTTTATGTTCGTTTTTATTAGGCTTACAAATCTGCATACCTTATTTAACATTAAAAAAAATTTTAATTTTGGCCAATTTTTGACAATTTTAATGATGTAACTAACCCCTTATCAAATTTTGAAAATTTGGATGAAATTAAATAATTTTTTTTGTTGAATATTTTATTGTTTATTAATTAGAATTTTAATTACGAATCGAAATTTTAATTTTTTATTTTATTTATTTATTTATTTTTTATCATTTATATATATATTTTATGCTTTATTCGCATTATAGAAATTATATAAATATTTTTGAAAATAACTTTACTTAAATGTAAGGCAGCTGGAAATACTTGTGTTTCTAGGCAGACTCTCTCATTACCTTTTTATAAATTTCTAAGGTTTAAGCTTTTGTTTATAAGACTTAAATGTCCGATTTTCTTTTTGTAGAATTCCCAATTGAGATCTGATAATTGCTGGCCTGATAATACGATGATGAATGGCTTCGATATATTGTTTATCAAAAGTATACAACATGCAAGCTGACCACAGGTAAGGTCGTAAGCAAGGTGATTACTTTTCTTTGTTTGTTAATTTTATCCGCTTTATCAGTACGGTGGCTCAAACACCTGGAGAAATGCCAGCCTTTGAGGAAAGTCCAGCATGTTATCTATTCGTAAATGCTTTCGGTATATTTGCTTAATTGAAAAAATTGTGTGTTTATTTGTGGTTATTTGTTCTTTGTGTTGTCGAAGGCCAAAACATTGTGCGTCTCAATATTTTTGCAGACTTGAGAGTCATTTCAAGGGGTTTGAAATTAGTTGAAAAGGGGCCTAAGATATTGTTGTGTCTTATTTATCTTTTGACTTACTAAAATATAGTTTTCAATTATTTATTTTATTATATTTATTTATTAAAATAGAATTTTTAAATATTTATTGAAAAGTTTATGCTCGATGGTAATAAACTCTACCCCTGGATTTTGACAGTGTTTTGCTCCCCCCTCTCAAAAATTAAAAATTAACTAAAAACCAGAGCTTGCAAATAACTGTCGACGGGGTTTTTCCTGTGCTCTCGGTGCGAGCAAAACCGAAAAAGATCATACTCTCTCGCTCTCGTTCAGAGCAAGGGAGTTTTGCTGTCTTCATTTCGGTTTTTTGTTGAACGCTTTTCGTTGAGCTCTTTTTGCTTCGGCCTTTCAATGAGCCGTGCGTAAAGAGCGGGACGAGAAACGTTCGCACACAGAGAGCCAGCAAAAGACCAAGGGACCGAACAGCTCAGCGCGAACGGTCTTCACCTTTGTTTTTTTTTTTTTTTATTTATTTATTTTTGTGAACAAGTGTCCATATAACAAAATGCTATTAAAAAGAATAGAAAAGTTTTAGACAATTTTGTTTTTAAATCCCAACTAAACGTTTAACGATTTGCTTGCCTATGCGTGTGAATGTATACCAATACATACGCAAAAGACTTTTGTCCACTGACCACGGTTCATGGGACAACCGAAACAAAGCAGAATAGAAAAAAACGAGTTCGCTCTGAACGCGCGCGAGCTGATTCCAAGAACTCATGAACGGGTGCTCTCTGAGTCTTTTCGTAAAGAGTGAGAGAGAGACAGATATATGCAGACAATTAGAAACGGTCGACAGTTTTTTGCAAGCTCTGCTAAAAACCCATTGCTCATAATCTCATGGTTTTATTGCAACCTTTAAAATTGGTTCTCTACATGTTGTCGATGCAGGAGTTGATGTTGGGCACAAAGGCGTTGCAGGAGCCGACCACGCTCTTGGTGGCGCTGGTGAAACAGGTGGCGGTGTTGGCGGGCAAATGGGCGGACTCATGGATAATGATGTTCATGCGGCGGATCAGGGTCAGGATGGCCCTGAAGAGCTTGAAGATGCACTTGCCGGTGTTCTTGGTGGCGGAAACCACGCCCCGAGTGGTGGTGGTGGTGTTGTTGGAGGTGGCACAGAGCTGGGAGCGCAGGTGAATGATGTTGTCGCCAATGGTGACCATCTGCTTGGCATTGTTGACAATGGCCAGAACATCCTTGGGCACATTCAGGGTGCAGTGACCAACGTTGTCCACATAGCTAGTGCAGGCGCTCATCACATTGATCACCTCCTTGATGATGCAGTTGGTGCCATTGATGCCCTTGAGACCCTTCCACACGACATTCTTGCAGGCGCCAAAGAAGCCATAGGACTCCACATCCATGAACTCGCCATCCATGTCCTCGAGAGCCACGAGCTCGGAAACCAAAGCGGCAACATCCCACTCGAGGTCGGAAATGTTATCGTAGGACTCCACGGCATTGGCCTGGAATTGAAGGATATGAGAGGTTCAACAAAGAAACTAATTGATGGGGAAAGAGGAAATTATACATTTTTGTGGGAAATATTTGACTTTAAAATTTAGTAATTTTAAATAAAGGTTTTTGGTTTTCAAGCACTTAAAAAAAAATTCAATTATTTGGCACTTAAAAAGAAGCTATAGAAGAGCCTCTCTTGCGGAGTTTCACTTTCTCCTATTCATTTTCAACACAAACTCTTTGAATATTAAAAAACCCAAAAAATAAAGAAAAAAATATATAGTATCTCTTTGTTGTTGTCACACTTTCAGGCGGCTTATCAAACCTCGCCAGAGATAGCAAGTACTAAAGCACTCAATTCCTCCACAGAAACTCCTTGGCAACTGGACTTACACTGACGGTGGTCAGGAGGAAGCTGGCGGAGGCCACAACCAGGAGGCACAGGCTGATCACTTTCATGTTGCTGCTGAATGGATTCACTGGCGAATGTTTGCCGGCTGATCCGCGGGGTTTGCTTATATAGAGAGAAGATCCACCCGGGCGCCCTATCAGCGGGCACTAGTCGAGTGGCTACGATCTATCTGGCCGGTAAATTAATATGCCATGCGTTTAATTAAGCCACACAAAGTCCGAAACTAATTTGCCATTATCTATGCAGCGTGGAAACAATGGAAACATTGCCAAAACCAGATAGTGTGGGGCTTCCTTCTGGTGGGTGGGTGGTTGGTTCGTTGGTTGCTTGGTTGGTTGGGTGTTGTTGGAGTGGGGTCCAAGATCGACCCATTGATAGAGGCACACACGTTCCTCCTTGTCGATGCTGCGGCGGCACCTGCACAATCTTCGAACCGTTGGACTGTTCATTTTTGGAGGCGGCAATCAAAACAAAACCCTTGGCAAAGTCAAACCATCAAGCACGACAGCTGTGGTTAGAATCTAGATTCGGACGGAGATTTAGTCATAAGAAAGAAGGTAAAAGTGTGGTAAACTTTATAAAAAGAAGGGGTAATACCATTCTTTGCAATACTTTAAAGGGTTTTTATTTTAATTTTAATTTTATTATTAAGTTTTTGTTGATTATGTTTTCAGGAAATTATGGTATTTACTTCAGCTAATAATAATTAAAATTGAAATGCTAAAATTCAAGACATAAATAATTTAAATAAAGTAAGAAAGCCTCGTAACTAAAGGTCTTAAATACCCAAGGATCTATTTTTGAAACTATTAATTCTTTTAACATTAAAAAAAAAAACAAAGTTTTCTATTAATATTTTTAACAGAAAAACAAATAAAGCAAGTTTATAATGCCTCAGAACTGAAATCAATTTAGTTTTAAATTAAATAAGCCAGAAAAAATTATTTATTTAAATATAAATATGTTTTTAAATATAAAAAATATATATGAAGCTATTTTATTTTATTTCAGAATTATAATAAATTTAGTTTTAAGTTAAATAACCCATAAATATCAATATGTTTAAATATGAAAATATTTTTTAAGATATAACAAAAATAAAATACAATTTAAACTAATTTATGTTGTCATAGAATTTTAAACAATTAGTTTTTAAATTAAATAAACCATAAATATGGCATTTTTAATATTAAAAACAAATATAAAATAAAATAAGTAAACCCCTAACAAATCATATCTCAATATCATTTTGTTTTTGTCACACTTTCATGTTTATCAGTTTTCAATTAATGCCACAGATAGTGAGTGCGTTTGCACTTTGGTTAATTATTCAAAATGTTTTTTAAATAAAAAAAAAAGAAAAGATTTATACAACTAAAAAATGGGGTTAGACCCTCTAAAAAAAATAAAATAAAGATTTATAGGAACTTAAAAAGGTTATGATTTAGTACCCTTCAAAACATAATATAAAAAAATCAATAAAATATTAATAATAATAATAATAATAATATTACAAATAATAATTAATAATTATTTTCACACCCAGTAAACCCCTCCTTTGAAGATTTTTAATTCATATATACAGTTGCGGCAAAAAAAATAGCACCATGACATATATTTTTCATTATTGATTAATTGTTTTATAACTATTCATATATTTAACTTGTTTAAGGCTTTTATTTTTTACTTTAGGCTCTAATTTATCGAAATACACTGCAAGTGTCGCCGATAATAACATGAAATTGAAATATTTACATTATGAATGTGAACGTTGAACATTTTAGGCGGCAACAAAAATAGCACTATTTCAAAAATAACTTAAGAAAACGAAAAAAAACGAAAAAAATACGGGAAGTTCTGGAATATTTGTATTCATTTGTATTCCTTATCGATATAGTGTATTAATATTTCGTTGTAAAAGCTTTGGCAGCAATGACAGCAGCACAACGTCTCGGCATAGAATTGACCAAGTTTTGACACCTTTCCCGTGGAATACTGCTCCATGATTCTTGAATGGTGGCCCAGAGCTCCTGATTAATCCTTGGTTTTGCATTGGAAACATATTTTTTTACATCAGACCAAAGATTCTCTATCGGGTTTAAGTCTGGAGACTGAGCAGGCCAATCCATTAGGTGAAGGGATCTGTCTTGAAACCACTTAGGAGCTTTCTTGCTGGTATGTTTAGGGTCGTTATCCTGTTGGAAGACCCACAACAACGGTATTTCGTATTCTGCATAAGACAGCATCACTGTTAGCAAAATATCGCAATAGACATGTTGATCCATAATACCTTTTATCCAATGTATTGGACCCACTCCGTAATAAGAAAAGCATGCCCAAACATCCTATGGTCGGATGAAAGCAAAATCGTGCTATTTGGAGGAAGAGGATCTCGATCCTATGTACGGCGACCCCCCAATTCGGAATACCGCCCAAGTTTCACCTGCAAGACCATAAAACACGGTGGAACGAGTATCATGGTTTGGGCATGCTTTTCTTATTACGGAGTGGGTCCAATACATTGGATAAAAGGTATTATGGATCAACATGTCTATTGCGATATTTTGCTAACAGTGATGCTGTCTTATGCAGAATACGAAATACCGTTGTTGTGGGTCTTCCAACAGGATAACGACCCTAAACATACCAGCAAGAAAGCTCCTAAGTGGTTTCAAGACAGATCCCTTCACCTAATGGATTGGCCTGCTCAGTCTCCAGACTTAAACCCGATAGAGAATCTTTGGTCTGATGTAAAAAAATATGTTTCCAATGCAAAACCAAGGATTAATCAGGAGCTCTGGGCCACCATTCAAGAATCATGGAGCAGTATTCCACGGGAAAGGTGTCAAAAACTTGGTCAATTCTATGCCGAGACGTTGTGCTGCTGTCATTGCTGCCAAAGCTTTTACAACGAAATATTAATACACTATATCGATAAGGAATACAAATGAATACAAATATTCCAGAACTTCCCGTATTTTTTTTCGTTTTTTTTCGTTTTCTTAAGTTATTTTTGAAATAGTGCTATTTTTGTTGCCGCCTAAAATGTTCAACGTTCACATTCATAATGTAAATATTTCAATTTCATGTTATTATCGGCGACACTTGCAGTGTATTTCGATAAATTAGAGCCTAAAGTAAAAATAAAAGCCTTAAACAAGTTAAATATATGAATAGTTATAAAACAAATAATCAATGAAGAAAAATATATGCCATAGTGCTATTTTTTTTGCCGCAGCTGTATAATGTATTTATTGATTCGTTCATTCGCTTGTTTATCCATAGATATAATATGTAAAATGGTTATTTGTTGCAATTAATATTAATATTGTTTGAGCCGCATATATAAAAACAAATAACAATAAAAAAATGCTTAGCCAAGACAATTAAATTAAGGTAATTACTTAATAAATTCAAGACGAGTCACGACGAGAATAATATTTAAAAAAAAAAAAAAACGCACACAAGTATTACAAGTGATAAAAGGACAACACCGGAAAATTTCGATTACAATATATATATGTACGATTCTGCCCCGTAGGAATAACAAAAAAAAAATATTAAAAATATTAATAAAATAATAATAATTATAATAATCATAATAATTATGTTATGATAATGTCATATAGTACAATGCAAGAAGCTAAATATTCTTGGCTTTAACTTAAGCTTAGTTGTAGGGTTTTTAATTGCACATGCTTTATTTTTTTATTTTTTATAATTTATAATTTATATTAATTTATAAAAAAAAAAAAAAAAAAAAAAAATGCACCACTTGGGAGAAGGAATGCTTCAATTCAGATCAGGCTGAGACGACTGTTGGTCTTGCGCAGCTGTGCCCGCCAAGGGATGATGTTGTCCTCCTCTTCCTCCTCCTCCTCGGCGGCGGCGGTTGCTCCTCGCTGGCCCTCCGGCGAATCCAGGATCTCGGAACCCGACTGATGCTGGTGCTGCTCCTGATGCTCCGGCTCCGACTGGTTCTCCTTGTTACCCAACGGCAGAGGCTGCTGCTGCTGCTGCTGCTGATACTGGATCTGCTGATAGTGCTGCTCCATGCCCGCCAGATTGATGTTGATGTTGTCAATGGACATGGCCCGGTTCTTGAGCCGCCAGGTATCCGCCACCCGATTGTTCTCCTCCACCTTGGGCGTGTAGATGGCCGCCCTGGAAGAAGGTCAGAAGGACAGTGAGGCCAGGCCTCCTCCTCTGCCACCTGCCACTCGCACCCACTTACTTCAGCTTGTTCTCCGCATCCTCGCGTCGCGCCAATAGATCTCGCTTCCATTGCGGTATCTGGGAGAGGCGACGTGACTCCGCCTCCTGGGCCATACGCTCCTCAAAATCCTTTTTGGCCCGCTCGGCGGCCTTCTTGGCCATCATCTGGCGCTTCCAGTCGGGGATCGCATTGCCGGCCTGATCCTTTTCGGGTATCTGCAAGTAGATCTTTGCGCCACCACTTAGCCCAAGGTCCTTTGGGGGTTTCTGTGATGCGGAGTAACTCACCTGATCCACATAGTTGTTGGCCGTAAACTGTTTTGTGATCTCCATGTAGTGCTCCGAGTCCATCCGGCTGGCCATCTGCTGTTCCACCTTCATCTTCTTGATGCCGGGTATGTCCTTGGAGATCTTCAGCTCGGCAATTAGGTCGGACTTGAGGTAAGTGTCCGTGCCGGAGGTGAGGCACTGCATGCTCAGGCTGCGGGCGGGCATCTGGTAGGGCTTCGGCACCTTCTGGGTGTCCGTGCGGCGTAGCTGCACAGGGGTTACAATATATACATATATAAATACCTGTCCCGACCTGACCTGTTGGTTTTGGATCTCCCCCCTCACCTGGACACTGTTCAGATCCTGTATGGAGATGGCCGAGAGCGGCTGATGCTGCTTCCGGGTGGCCGTATCCTGGCTGCTGGGCGTCGCTCCATGCGGCTTCTTGGGCTTGTGCGATGACTTGCCGGACATGGTGGCATCCTGACCGCCATTGGCCATGTTCATCAGCGGCACCAGCGGCTGCGGTGGCAGCATTCCATGGGGCAAAGGTGGCGGAGGCGGCGGTAATGGTGGCTGCTCGCCTCCCATTCCATGTCCATGCTGGTGATGCGGATGGGGATGGGGATGGGGATGTGGGTGCGGGTGTGGGTGTGGGTGAGGATGCGGGTGGTGCGAATGCTGCGAGAGGTGCACCTGCTGCTGATGCTGCTGCTGCTGCTGCTGTTGCTGGGCGATCTGTATCTGCATGTAGTCCTCCGTGTCCGTGGAGCTGTGGAGAGGCAAGGGCATTGGTTTAGAGGCGCAACTTTCACTGGGGATTAGGTGGGATTATCCGAGTTGGGATTGGGTTTGGCTGGGGTTTGGGCTTGGCTTGGGTTTGTCTTGGGAGGATCTACTCCCCACCTGCGCCAGGCGTGGCGTGTGCGCAGTATCATCTTCGGTTTGCAACTGAGTTGCAGTTGCAGCTGCAGCTGCCACATTGCCGCTGTGTGCCACAAAGAAGTGGCAGGCCGCCAAGTGGCACGCATAAAATTTCATGCACTCTTGAGCGGCGGATAAAATGCTGCAGGCTTGGCTTTTTTCTAGCAAAGTTTCGGGTTTTTTTTAATCAGTTTTTTTTTTTCATTTTTTTTATACAAAATTATAAAATATATAATAAAATATTATATAATTTTTATAATATAATAAAATATATATAAAATAATATTAAATAATATAAAATATATAATATAATATAATATATATATTTGGAAAAAAGCCAAATCTGTATTTTTTAAGACAGAAAAACTTAAACAAAAAATTAACAAAAGAATTAAAAATATAACTACAAAAATTAATTGTTGAAAAGGTTTACCAATATATTTTTTCCACTAAAAAGAAATTTCCAAGTTCAAAAGATTTTAAAAATTATATATATGAAGTCATGGAAGTTAATTAAAAATAATATATAAAAATATATAACTGACATTTACTAAAAAAATAAAGTTGTACAAAAGTTTAAATATATATTTTATGCATTAAAAAAAAGGTTTCCAAGGGGAAAAGATTTTAAAGGATAAAGAAAAACTAGAAACTGATACTTCTTAAATATTTTCAAATATTATTAAAAAAAATAATAAAAATAAATAAATATTAATAAAAAGTAATAATATACCTGGCATTAAAAAAATTAAATAAAATACTTGAAATATAATATAAAAAATATAAAAACGGCATGATCGCTGCTAAAAACAAAAATATTAAACCTTTCAATAAATATAAATAATAAATTTATACATTTAAAAATGACTTGAGTTCCCCTAATATTAATTTCAACATTTTTTACCTGCTTTAAATTGTTAAAATAAATTTTAAAAATATTTAACAGCTGCCTTAAATTATTAAAATAATTGTTTAAAATATTTAACAGCTGCCTTATAATATTAAAATAAATTTTAAAAATATTTAACAGCTGCTAAATTATTCAAATAAATTTTTTTTAATACTTAAAACCTCAGTTAGTTTTTCTTTCCTATTTTTTTCTTTGGCTAAAATGCAGCATCACTGGCAGCAAGCTGCTAATTGGCCAGCGGCAGCCAAGCGTCTTGGCAGCCATGTATCTTGGGTGTTTTTCCAGCTTGCTTAGTTTTTTATTTGATTTTTTTTTTTTTTTGGCTAATTGAGGCAACTGTACCGCCAATACTAATTATAACAGCCGCTGCACGAGATGTGCAGCCAAATGAAGTCGGCTGCCATCTGCTAATTGAAAGTGGACTCGGAGTCCGACTTGGACTTGGGACTTGGGACTCGGACGAGGACCAGGGGATGGATAAGCTCACTCACCGGGCGGAGGATGGACACGAACGCTTGTCGATGCTGATGCTCTTGAGATACTCCGACGGCTTGATGAGGTGCGTGACGCCGTCTTGTGATTTATTGGGAAAACTGGGCGGCACAAACGGCAGCACCAGCTGCTTGTTGACCAGATTGGGTCCGCCCGTCCGCTGTCCATTGGGTAAACCGTTGCCAGACTCTCCGTAAATCTGATGCTGCTGCTGGGTGAGCTCGTAGTGATCCTCGGCGGAGGAGCCGCCTCCATAGAGACTGGGCGTGTATTGGTGACTGTGATGCTGCTGCTGCTGCTGCTGGGCCTGGTAGTGCTGTTGCTGCTGGGTTTGATAATTGCCATTGCTCCTTGGACCCTTGCCGACGCCCTCTGAGTAACCATAGATGCCATTTCGCGTACTATTGGCTCCTAAAGCATCCTCCTCCTTGGCCTTAGTGCTGCTGCTGCCGCCTCCACTTCCACCTCCACCTCCACCGCCACCGTTGGCGTTGAGCAGCTTGGCTTTCTTGTTCGCTGGAATTGAACAAATTTATTTATAAGTTTTGTGGGTTAGCAGTTATCAGTCTGACGCTGGTCATGCCAACTTGAGCAGCCAGCCACTAAGTGGGAAAATAACAAAAAAGTAAGAAAACTAAAAGGAAAATGGGGAAAAATAAGAAACTGAGAAAATACGAGCTGCTTTTAAGCTGGCTGCGTAGGCGCCTTTCACCAGACACAGGCCCAGTTGCATACAAAAACCTAAGTAAAGCTAAATAAATTCAGTTTTAAGTAGAGTCAAGTTAATAAATTGGCCAGAAGAGGGAGAAATTGAGTGACTTTTAATGTTTAAAATTCAAAAACTGAAAAAATTATTTGAATAATCTTGCAAAAAAAATACAAGTCAAGTGCCTAGTTTGACTTTATTCAACCTTTAAGTATTTATAATATTAATATACTATTTTAGGCTTCACGTTTTTTGGGTCTTACCCGCTGGCGATATGATTAGACATTAGTCTGAGATACTCAAATATATTTAAATATATATATTATATTTTAATCAGATAGCTGCCGGGGGTGGAGTTCCAAAAGTTCCACTTGGCTCTTGGGGCGATAAGGGGACACTTGCACTTGAGGTGCTTAAGAGTCGCCGCCTGATGGCCTCTTGGATTCATTCAAATGTGGTTTTCCTTGGTGACAAATCTGAGCCCAAGGAGATTGGATGGAACAGAAGCAACTTTGAAAAGAGTTACTGGATTTTTTCTAGCTTAACATTAAGCTTAAAACGAAGCCTAAGATCAGGCTTAAATTAAAGCTTAAATAGAGGCCTAAAATGAGCCCTAAGTCCAGCCTAAATCCTAGCTTAAATCCTAGCTTAAATCTAAGCATAAATCCAAGCTAACATCACAGCCGTACTACTAGCTTAAATCCTCGCCTAAATCGAAGTCTAAGTTTCAGCTTAAAACGAAGCCTAAATCTAAGACTAAGTTCCAGCTTAAAACGAAGCCTAAATCTAAGCCTAAATCCAAGTCCAAATCCAAGCTTAAATGCTAGATTAAATCCATGCCTAAATCCAAGCCCAAATCCTAGATTAAATCCTAGCCTAAATCCTCGCCAAAATCCTCGCCAAAATTTTCACTTAAATCCAAGCCTAAATTCAAGCTTAAATCAAAGCCTAAACTTAAGCTTAAATCCAAGTTAAATCCTAGTTTAATCCAAGCCTAAATTCAAGCCTAAATCCAAGCTTATATCCTTTCTTTAATTCAAGCTTAAATCCTTCCTTAAATTCAAGCCTAAATCCAAGCTTAAATCTTTCCTTAAATCTTTCCCTCAATTCAAGTCTAAATCCAACCTAAATCCCAGTTTAAATCCAATCTTAAAACCTATTAATTCTTCCCTGTGATCAGCGTTACCCAGTGTCAGCTGATCACACGGAAGAATAACTTCCTCCGAGCTTAAAAAACTATACACTATCGTGGGAGTATCCCCCATAAAAATTAACCACAATTTCCCTGGCCTTATGTCTTTTCTTTATTCAATTTGCTGATTTGCTGGCAGACAGTAATTGGGCAGAGACCCCATCTAAACCCGATCACACAGCATTGCTCCAACTTTCACGGCCTTTGGTAACTCGTTTCAACCGGCAATCATTACGTGGAGGAGCTAGCTGGTGGTGGATCAGTTCATGGCTGCCCGATCTTATGGTCAAACCACTCAAAATCGAGTCGAGCCAGTTTGAACTGAATTTATGCATTTGCAACGTTTGGCGACATGAAAAACTAGCGAACGAAATGTGAAAAAATGTACTCTTTGAGCAACGGGTCTGGGGAGAAATTTGTAATTGGCATTTGATGTCCACAGGTCGGTTTTCGTTTTAGTGGCTTTAACGAGTGCAATGTCTGAACCAGAAATGCATAACGATATGGCAGCGGGACTCACCTTTCATTAGCGCAACAATTTTGATAGATTTATTTAGAAAATAATAGACTATTGACTATTTGTAGTGATCACAAAAAGGATCAATTAAATCGGCTTCTTGGCTTCAAGTCCTTTTGATGTTCATAGTAGCTTGCAGGATTTATATGACTTGGATTTACTTAACATTTATTTAGTTATATATTTTGAAATTGAAGGCAGACAGACACACTTTGGAAAATTTCAGTTGAAAGTTAAGTCAAGGGATTCATTTTCATGAATATTAATTTTTAAATTCTTTTAAAATTTAATTACAAGTTCCTTTGTACTGGAATTAGAAAGAACTGTTCAAATAAATAAAATAAAATACAAATAAATATAAAAGTAGCATTGAGGATGTTCTTGGTTGAAACAGAAACTAGTTACCCTTCAGAAAATTAAGAAATAATTTATTTTGAGTGTATTTAAAGACTTGAGTCTTCTTTACTCTAGAAATTATTCCACCAAACAAGCACTTAAAAAAAAGGAATTTCTAGTTAAGAAAACCTAATGGTCACAGCAAAATCTCCAACTCGACAGATTTTCCCTTTAAATTATAAACATTCTATATAATTAAAGAAAATTTTTCTTATACTTTGTTAAAACCTAAAGTCACACCCATAAATATAGAAGCACTAAAAGCTATAGAACACTTTTTTCAAGTCTCTTTTTGATTTTTTAAATTTTAAATTTAAACAAAATATAAAAATTCAGATTAAAGCACCAACTTTATATCAAAAATTCAATATTCACATAGAATCACTTACACCGAAAAATATCAAAACGCTGAAAGCTGAGAGTAAAGTAATTTCGCCGCGAATTCTTGTGGATTTTCACCGAGCCCAGCATGTTCATTTTGATTGTTTCAATGAGATCTATATATATGTATATATATATTTATAATTCCAACACTAGTCACATTGTCAGGAGTAGCCAAAAGGACATCGCGGGTTTCCGATTTGCAATTAAAGTTCGCGTTGCAGTTGACGATGTTGCCTCTGCGAGCGTCGCTGGCAGCCTGAAGTGAGTTCAAGCCATTGCCAAAGTTATTCACCCAAGACGGCTCCACGATGGCCAAAACACGTTCACTTTCGTTGGTAAAACTTTCGCAGATCCACGAGCCACGATTTGCCAGGCGGAGAGTGTGGCGGTGGCATAGGTGGATGTGGTTGTGGATAGGTAGCTCGATGGCTAGGTGGATGTGGGTGGCTGGCCAATTGTGTGGGACACACAATTATGGCTGCGACTTTTTGGGAAATTGCTTCCTCATCGCGGTTTGGGGGTATGGATCATGCATGTAAGTATTTACCAAGGAAGGCCTGCCTCTAACCCAACGACGATGAGGGGCAAATTGACAATGATGTTGTTGTCGTGGCCCATAGATCATTGATCAGGCACTGGGGAAAATATTTATCTGTACTTAAACATAATTATAAATAATATTAAATATAAAATACATGTTTAAGGATTTAGGAAAGAAGATAAAATATAAAAAAATATATATATACTGAAGAGAATTTCTTGGTTGAATCGAAAAAGCAGTTTATATAGTATATATATTTTTTTTCAGTGTTCTTGAGTCTCAAATAAGACCTCGAGTAGCCGAAAAACTCATTTTAAAGAATTAGAAAAAAAAGCAAATAATCAAAACAACTTTAAAAATATATAATAGAAGCTTACTTTTCCCAAAGTTTGATTTAAAATTGAAATAAAAAATTAAAATAAATAAATAATAAAATAATTGTAATAAAATAAATGTACAAATATAATAATTAATCTAAACAACTTTAAAAAAATAATAATAAAAAGCTTACTTTCCCATACAGAAATATTTGTTAATTTCCAAAACATTTGATTTAAAATTGAAATAAAATTATAAACTATAAAAATATATATTATTTCTTTCCCAAAAAAGTTGTATAATTTCTTAGGTAGTTTTTTTTCCAAGTGTACCTCATAACTTATACGGCAGTCAAGTGTCTGGGATTATTTTCTTCGCTTCATCGCTGTCACTTCCACTTTTTCCAACTGAATTCGACTTCCACTTCTTTGTTTTCGCTGCCGTTTTTCCACGGATCTTTGCCGCCTTATCGTGTGAACGTTCGGCTCAATTAAAGCCTCTCCACCAACTCCAACTCCCGACTCCAACTCCTCCTACCCCTTTCTCTTCCATAATGGTCAATTAACAAATGAAAAATCGGAGCCAAACACATGTCAAACATGGCAGCTATCATTCGCATTTTTCTTCGTTTTTTTTTACGATATTTATAGTGTGATAATGAGGGGTATTGTCTCGGGCAAGGCCTTCAAATTGGCTAGGAAGCCGGCCATTTAAGCTTCATACTAATTAATAATTAGTCAAGCGTCTAAACAGCCGTTTTCCTGGACCAAAAATAATGGAAATAACTCGGAAAAATAATTGCATTTCGCCCAAAAAGTAGTAGTATCTCTTTCGTAGAATATGTTAAAACAAATAAAAGAAATAACTTGGCTAATTGAGGCATCAAAACATTCGATTATCCAAGATCCATTGGCTTGGCAATCAAGATGTTCCCATCGGGCAGACGGATCAGGTTTGCTGCAGGGCATTTTCATGGCCATGACTGGCGAATTTCCAGCAAGCAATTGATCAATCAAGTCACAAGCCACTGAGGATGATGATGATGATGATGATGATGATGATGACGTTGATGCGGAACCCCCAGAGCAGGTCTTTCACCTCATGGACACTAATTGAATTTGCAACCAAGGAGTTGCATTAGCTTCTTGAGACGCTCCTCCTCCAGGAACACATTCAAAGTGGACGGGGGAACTTGGCCATTGACCTGCAGCTCATTCCCTGAATGAGAACACCAGGATCCGGCCACAGAGGACTGATGGAGCGATCCACCTTGACGCCAGAAAGATGACGATGCAGCAGCTGGCAATCCCTGTCGCTCAACGTCTTCAGATTCAGGGAGTCAAGGAAGAGGGTGGGATTGCCAGGGCTATAGACAATGCAAGTGTTCTTTCGGTATTGCTCCTTGGGCGATCCCTCCGAGGTTGTTGTGGACTCCTCCTCCTCCTCCTCCTGCTCCTCCTCCTCTCCCTCTGCCAAGTCCGGGCTATTGTCCTCGCTGCAGGTCTTGCTGCTGCCCTCGGAGGGATCTGACCAAAGCGGATCGCTCTCCGTGCCGGAGGAGTTGCACTCTGGGCTGCCATCGTCGCTGCTGCTCATTGTGCTGCCTCCTCCCCCTAACCAACCCTGCAGCCCACTCCACCTCAGACCAATTTTGGCTAAAAATTGTTTGAAGCTTTCGAAGAGAATTTTGAAACAACTGGTGTGTGTGTGGCTTAAAAACTGAAAACCCGAAACTGAGGCCTACACAAAACGTACTTTTCCAGGCATACCTGGGCATACCAGGTGAGATATTATAGCTAGGATTGTGTATACCAAAACTGCTTACCCGATATGGTGGACATGGTGCGATTGTGGTTACCCCTCACCAGCTCTGAAGGCCGCAGGCTTGGCTCTTCAATCACCTCGAGCCCGGAGTCCGAGTCCACGGTTTCGCTGCTGGCGGTTGTGGGATTCGGAGCTGGTATCTGGGGTGGAGCTCCACCTGGAGTTGCCTGGTTTGGTCCAAATACATTCTTCTTGTAGATCCCATTGTTGTTGTTGTTGTTGTTTGGCTGCTCGGAACTGGAGCTGTTGCGTTGCTGTACCGCCGGAGCTCTCAGTGGTGGCGGCAAGGGAGGTGGCGGTGGTCCATTGACTAGAGGGAAAGCACAAGGGATTACAAAGAGGATTATGAGAGGTTTTTGGTTCGATTATACTTTTTTGATGGTTTTTTTGGTGCATTAAACTTCAGTTCATTAAAAAACCTTTGAAAAAGTATGTTATCCTTCTTGATTCTTGGACATATTTTCAAAAATTTCTCTTCAATTCAATATACCAACTCACCAATGGCCACATTTTGCATGGGCGGCGCCGAGGAAACGCGCTTGAGTATCCTTCCATTCTGATTGCCACCGTTGCTCAGGTTGGAATTTGAATTGGAATTGTTGTTGGCCGAGGCCTCGGCCAGATTGTTGCGTATCATGGAGTTCTTGTGCGTCTGCTTGGTGCGCTCGGCCACATCCTCTGGTGGACAGACACTCTCGTAAGTGTCGCTCTTGATGCCGCCGTTTAGGAGTTGATTTTTTAGGTTTACATTTTTGGCACTGTAGTTGTCCTTTAGCGAGGACTCGTACTTGCTGCTGTGCAGGCCAATGATTGAATGCGATTTGTTGCGATTTAGTTGGCTGTTGTTGTTGTTGTTGTTGTTGTTATTGTTGTTGTTGGTGTTGTTATTGGCTATATTATTGGTGCTATTGTTGTTGATATTTCGCTTGTTGTTCAAGTGCTGAAAGTAGCAACAAGAAAAGATATATCAGTGAAAGTCAAGGGTAAAAAACAAAGCTAATCCTTACATGGTTGCTGTACTGCAGCACAATGTCCGTGCTCCTGGTGGAACTGGCACTGGCCGAACGCGAATGGGAGCCACTGTCTCTAGAGCGTGAGCGTCCCACATTGTATTTGTTGTTGTGCTGCTGCTGCTGTTGTTGCTGCTGCTGCTGCTGTACGGCCTGCTGCTGCAGCTGCAAATGTTGCAACTGCTGTTGATGCTGGTGCTGATGCTGCTTGCGCGACTCCTCGCGCACCAAATAAATATCCTCGTAGTCATGATCTCCACCGCCATTCTGGCTGCCAGAACCCAACCCAACGACGCCCATTCCCATACCCATTCCCAGGCCCTTGTGGGCCTTGTAGTTATTGACCTTGGCGTTGCCCAGGTTGCTTATGTTGCTGCTGCTGCCGTGGCGATGGAAACTCTGGCTGCGCAGCTGCTGGTGGCCATGGGACTGCTGTTGCTTCGGTGAATGGAAGCTGGACGAAATGGACACAGACTCATCAGAGCCACTGCCTGCCCCGCTAGAACTGGAATGGACATCCGCTTGTATAGTCATGGCATTGCCTGCCTTTGCCTGCATCAGCTTGCCGTGCTGCTTCACGCTGCTGCTGCAGTCGGAGTCCACGAAGAGATCGCGCACCCGATTGTAGATAATGTCCTGGGGGTCGTGCAGAAAGAACGACTCTCCGGAGATGCTGCCATTGGGCGAGGGCGTGTTGTACATGCCCCCGTTACGCATGGGATTCACATAAAGTCCATCGTTGGGCAGCAAGGCTCCTCCGCCGCCGCCGCCGCCTCCACCTCCACCTCCTCCGGAGGAGCTGTTGTTACCCGGATTGCCACCCAGCGAAGAGGATCCATTGTATAGCTTCTCCGAGGAGCTGCGCGACTGCTGCGAGTACAGGGCATCACTGTTTTTCCTGGTAATACCCATACCCATGCCCATGCCCATGCTCATGGCCATGCCCATGCCCATTCCCGATCCTCCTCCAGCTCCGCCATTTATGGCTGGCGGATGGAGATAGAAGGGCTCCACATCGGAGCTTAGGGTGGACGAGGACTTGGACTTGATGGTGTTGCTGCGACTCGTCTGCTTGGATGAGTTTGAGTTCGAGTTGCAGCTGCTGCTCATGTGCTGCTGCTGCTGTTGCTGTTGCTGCTGCAGCTGCTGCTGCGATTTGTGGCGCTGCGAGCTGCTCTTGCCGTTGTAGTCCACCGAGGTGCCATGCTGCACCAGGACATTCAGGCACTGCACAAGCAAAAAGAGCAAGTTTATGAAGGCTTCCCTTCAAGGATTTACGTCCTGTGACTTACCTCAACCTGCTGGTTTTCGGCTGCATCATTTATAGGCGACTTGCCATATTTATCCAGTGACAACTTGGCGCCATGATTGAGCAGCCAACGGACCACGGATAGATGTCCCCGGGAGGCGGCAAAGTGCAGGGGCGTGGCACCGTCGCCATCACGCAAATTGGGATCGACGCCCTGGTCTTGGACCTTTTTCGAGGGATAAAATTAAGGTTAAAGGTTTTAAAAACAAAAACATTAACTTCCATTACTCAATTCCCCACAAATACTAGTAGTAGTAGTTAGTTTTCCCCCAAAACGACGCCTGTTTATATACCCCCAATCGTTTAGTGCCACTTCAGTCAGTTCGTTTAAATAGCCCAAATATCTTAGCTATCTGCGGCAGCCGTCCGTTACGGTCAATCAATCTGAAAACGCGAATACTTTGGCTGATTTTTCACATCTCTGTCCCCGCCAAAGAGCTGTTGAAGTCTCTGACTGATGGATCCATTGGTCGGTTGGCTCCTGGTGTTACCACGTCTCTCTCTCTATCTCTCTGTCGACGGCCAAGTATCTCACAGATACTCGGTGGAAAGTGGTCGCGTCGCAAATGAAAACTATTTAGTTCAATTTAGAAAGGTGATTTCCAACTGCCAACGCGCTTGTGGCGATGATCTTGAACAGAAACAACAACAAAAAAGCAGCAGGAAATTCTGCTTAAAGCTGCTACAGCCATTGTTAGCACAGAGGTGGCTTCCAGGTGCACTGGAGTTCGCTTTGCATGTGACCACTTTCGGCCTCCTCCTGTGATTCCTCCCCTCCCCACAAATTGATAAATTGTCCGGAACGGGCCACAAAACTGGTCGAAAAAGAGCGAGGAACCCCGTTAAAATCACCGAAACAGGACCCCAAAGACCCCAAAGAAAAAAATAATGAAATAAAAAACAAGTTCGGTTCTACACTGGGGGAAAATGAGTAAATCTTTAATCTAGAACATCTAAAAAAATATATCTAGAAAATATTTATATAGACCCTGATATTTGGGGTTTATGTAAATATTTTTTTGATATTTTTTTTAGATGTTTTAAATTCAGTAAAATTCTTAAGTTAAATCCTTTCTCTAAAATATCTTTAAAATATTTTTTAAAAATTTTTTACAAAGATCCTGATATTCAGTATTTATGTAAATATTTAATTTATATTTTTAAGTATAATCTAGAAAAAAAAACATAAATTTATTTTAGATATTTTTTTGCAGATTTTTAAGATTAATCGAAAATATCTTTAAAATATTTACGTAGAGCCTGATATTCGTGTTTTATGTAAATAATTTCTTAATATTTTTTAGCCGTTTTAAACAAAGTAAATAAATTCTTTATATTTTTTAGACATTTTAAATTAAGTTAAATCCTTAATCTAAAATATTTAAGAAATATTTTTAAAAATATTTACAAAGGTCCAATTATTTGGGCTTTATGTAAATATTTTCTTGATATTTTTAAAATTTCTTAAATTAAGTTAAAATATTTTAAAAATACCCAGAAAATATTTACGTAGAGCCGAGCCTAAGGGCTTTATCTAAATAATTAATTTATATTTTTTAGATTAAGGATTTTATGGTCTAAGGAAGATTTTTAGGATTTCTGAAGCAAAATTTATCTGTTTTTAAAATGTTTGTTTTGGAAACTAGATTTGAACCTATTTTAAAAATTTTATCTGATTCTAGAAATTATATTTAAAAGTTTATTTCAATTAAGAAACTAAGAAGAACTCAAAAATATATTTTTATAAATTTTAAAATCAAGATAAATCCCCATTAATTCTCACATTAAACCCTAAAAGCTCAACAAATACTTAAAAAACAAATAATTTAGATACAAATACTTTAGATACAGATACTCTAAACACAGATACTTTCTGTCTATTCTGTGATAAACGCATTTAAAATACTAAATATTTTATTGTAATAAATTCCCAAATAAATTTAATGCCTGCTAGAACCTCCTAATATTTACTTAATTTTTCCTGAGTCTTTTAAAACAATTTTCCCAACTGCATCTTGGGTCTGGCAATTGACCCGCATTGCCTGCCTCTGCCCAAGAAGCCAGGCCGAAAAGCGAATTTTGATGTGGAGCAACTTGGTAGCATCGACTTGGTACTTGGTACTTGGTACTCACCATCCATTTGAGGCAATCCAAGCAGCCCATTTGTGAAGCGGCATGGATCGGTGCCATGCCGTCGCGTGCGCGAACATAGAGCGAACCGCCGGCCTCGAGCACCAGAAACTTGAGCACCTCCAAGTGGCCCTCCTGTGCCGCCAGGTAGACGGGCGTGACATCGTTGTCCATTTGCGTATTGGCGCTGCAATCCGCGCGGAGAACGGAAAAGTCAGAAAAGCGGAAAAACAGAAAGGCAAAAACATTCAATTAGTGAGGCGAAAAATAACAAAAAAAAAAAAAAAAAAGATCATTAAATTGAGCTTGGAGTTGCGCGAATTTGTTAGGCTGCCCAAAAATAGTTTGCAATTTGTATTGCAAAAAGTTTGATTCCGAGAGTCATTAGCGATTGCAAAGAGGTGTTTGGGTCACTGGAAAGTCTTCATATTTTCCGGTTTTCCCCCCCATTTTTTTTGTTGGAAAATATCATCATCGATCGATTACAAAGAGAAGGTAAGCTGTGTGTGTGGGAAAATCTTAAGGCTTATGGGGTTTATAAAAAGCTTATTAATAATTTATTATAAAAAATAAATTTCATTCCCCCCTTCGCACCTCACAACGCTGCGGCGATTGTTCTGCTCCTTGCGCCCCACACCGCTCATCATGGGCGTGGCCTCGTCCTCCTCATTGGACTCGGGATCCTCGTCCTCGTTCAGCTGCTGCTGGTGCTGGCGCACCACCTCCAGCGTGGATTTGCGCTGCGTGTGATGCGGATGATGATGATGTTGTGGCTCCATCCTTTGCTCTTCCAATTCCTTGGAATCCTGCTCGCTGTTTCCACTGCGTGTCTCCTCCTGGCTGCAATCTGGTGGTGATCCACCCAAATGATGATCCTCGGTGGGCGTATGACCCTCCTCAATGTCCTCGGAGCCGCTGCTGTGAACACTGGTGCTGAGTATGGCCGCGGTTACCTCCGTGGCGATGATGGTGTGAATGTCATTGTTTGACTTGGACTTTTGCTTGCTGCGGCGGTAGGAGGTGAGGCTGGTGGTCATCCGGCCCAGCAGGCCCTTCTTAACGTTGATTGTGGAGAAGTAGCTGGCGGAGGAGTAGGAGGAAGACATGGTGTTGCAGGTGGTTGATGGCAGGTGGCATTTCGGGGGCGGAACTTGGGAAGGCATGTGGCCGGTGGGGATGTGTGTGTGTGTGTTTGAGTGTGGCTGGTTTTGGTATATTGAAACCTTTTCAAAAGGAGAAGGCTTTAATATATATATTTTTTTTATTAATAATATTATTTATATATTTCTCAGGGATTCGGTGACAGTGCTCGGTGCTTGTGTTGGCTTGGAATTTGTTTGCAGGTTCTAAAAATTAAACTCGATTTTCGCCTTGGCTTACCGTTTTTGTTCACTAAACAAAAAAAAAACTGTATCGAAAATCGTTTGGAAATTTCACTCAAATTCACTTTGGAGATCTTTTTTTTTTCACTTTCGTTTGTCACTTGGTTTATTTTCCGGTTTGTGTGCTGTATATATCTTTGATTTTCCTAGTACCGTTAAGCGTACACATAAAAATAGAGCTCGAAATTATGAAACTGGTTTAGGAAAAATCACCAACATAAAATTGTAGCGGGCCCGTTTCGGTGCCTTGATTTGCATATCGAGTTTGTGTGTGTCCATGGATCCGTACATCGTACATCAGTAGGAAATCGAAAGTCTTTTTTGGTTCATCCCGGAGCCATAAAAAAAAGCTACTATAATACCATATATCGGACTATATATATCCACTGACAGCTCTCTGTCCGCCTGCCCAAGTGGCTGGGCCGTGATTAAAGCCTCGATGCTCGATCTGCTCGGCAAACTTCTAGCAAAACCGCCGTCTGTTTCTTTTATATACATATCTTTTTTTATATATATATCGTGTAATTGTTGTTGTTTTTGTTTTATATATATTTTTTTTGGTGAAATTAACGCTTAAAAGCGAAACAAAAACTGCACGAGGCCGGGCTGCCAGACGTTTCTCTCTGTAAGTTACGCCTGACTCCCAGCTAAAAATCTGCACTGTAAGAAATTTGGGTTCTTTAAAATTTTAAAAAGTTCTAATATTTTTTCTATACATTTTTGTATTTTTAAAATAATTTTACACATTTAATTTCTTAAGTTTTCTCTATTTTTTAAGTTTTCTGATATATTTTCTTCAGAAAAAAATAAATTAAATAATTATTTTAAAAGTACAGAAATAAAAATATTTTTAAAATATGTTATTAAATTTATTAACATTTTTTTACACCTCTTTTTTTTTTGCTTTTAATTGTTTTTAATTTTTTTTTTAATAAATAAATAAATAAAAGGTTATAAAAAATTCCATTCTTTATTTTTAAAATAATTATTAAATTTATTAAAATTGTTTTAAACCTCTTTGGCTTGTTTTTAATTTTTTTTAATAAATAAATAAATAAAAGGCTTTAAAAAATGCAATCTAAAGTTAGTTTTTAAAGAAAATTCCCTAAGAACTCCATTTCCTAGTATTTAATATTATTTCTCTCACTGTATCTGTGTTACAATTGCCACTATTCCATGGTGTTGCTCGCATTGCAGGTGCTGGCTTGCTGGCTTTCCACCTGGCACAGTGGGGCAAGAGTGGGTGCGTTTCTTAACCAACTGTAGAATTATAGCCACTGATCATGGCAATTTAGAGATTACCACAAACTGTCTGGCCAAAATTATAGGCCAGCAGCAGCAGTGTGAGGCAGTTGGTCAAGCTTTTCAATGGCCAAAATGGCTTAATAGTGGCCTCTAGCAGGAGAGTCAGGAAAGACTTTTGTTAGGCCAGTAAATGTCTATTTAAATTGGGTATTTCTTTGTATTTTAAATCTTTATAACAACTATATAGGTTTTGGAAATAATTCCAGGTAAGTTAGAGTTAGAAATCTCGGTTTGTTGTGGCTTAAAGGGGTTCTTTTTAAAGCGTTTGATATATTAATTTTGCTTTTACTTCTAATAAACATATCTTTCAAGTCAAAAGAAAAACCTTTCAAAGGGTAAAGTTCCACGGTGCTTTCGCCTCGCAGATTTTCCGGCAGATTCCGTCGGCGAAGGCGTCATGATGATGATGATAATGATGATGGCCATGGCTGTGGCTGTGGCTATGCCACGGATACTAGTATCTGTTCACTTAGTCAACTGGCTTACGACTTCATGGATATTGCACACAACACAGCACATCGCACAGAGCGGCTGTGGAGTGGCTTTCTTCGTTCGACTTTGGACTACTTGTTACATTTTCCAGCTTTTCTCGCTTAGAAATGAATTGTAAACCAATTAAAGTTGATTTTTCATCTTTATCGCTTTTGTTTTTTGTTGTGTTTTTGTTTCTGTGTCTTCTTTTGTAGGTGAAAATACGGTAAGAAAGATACATGTACTATATATATATATATATATCTTCCCAATTTTTTTTTCTCGCTCTCCTATACTCTATAATAATTATTTTTTAATTTATTTAATGTGTCTGGGGGCCAGGCAGAAAATGGAATAAAAAGCTAGCCGAACGAAAGGCGCCATAATTGGTGAGTAATTGGTTGAAGGAGAAGCCTCGTTAGAAATGCCAGTTGACAGTTATAGACTCGTTTATTTAATTGTGCATTTGCGTGCTCAATCCTCAGATCAGATTGCTGATTGACGATCAGCCATTAACAATCAACAATCGACAATCTACAATCGACGATTTGCCCATCGCTGAGAGAATGCAGAATGAAAGCTATGCGAGTGACACAAATGGACTCCAGGGAGACGTAGAAACAAATACAAAAACAGATACAGATACAGAGATAATAATTATTAAAAAAAACGTTATTATATGTGGGAAGTTCTATAGCATTTATCCAGTATTTATGACTTGATTTGAATGGGTTTACTTGGTCAGTTTTCATAGAGAGTTCAGCGAACTCTGCTCTCTAGAGTCTTGAAAAAGTCTTTCTATCTTGTTATCTATTCTATCTTTCTTTATGTATATATATTTATTAGAATAACATCTGTTTCTGTTAAAGTATTTGGTTTTAAAACCCATAATTAAAGCTCAAATATTTTGTTTATGTTTTAAAGCAATAACTTTGGCTAAAGATATTATATATTAATTAAGAAGTTTCTTTTGAAAATCTATACTTTAAATATTCTTCTAATTTTTCGATTTAAGACTGCTAAGTTCTTAGTTAATTTTCTAAATAAATAAAGTAAGAAATAAATTAAATATATTTAAGCCAAGTTTCTCTGTAAATTTCGTTATTTTTTCTGAAATTTTGAAACTAAAATGGAAGTATTTATTTATATATATTCAAGCCTAGTTTTCTAGTTAATTTGGTCTGAAAGTGTTAACTAAAATGTAAGTATTAATTTAAATATATTAAAGCCAAGCTTCCTGTTTAACTTAGTAATTTTTAAATATATTTCTAAGCCTTTTCCCTGGCTAAATTTCCATGTAATCTACTTTAGTTTAGCTTCAAAGACACTTTTTAAGGCTTAAAAAGCTCCGAGATTCCTTTTGTTACTAAATTAAAAAATCCTATATAATTTGAGTTCACTTTTAAATTGAATTTATACTTTATAAACAGTTTGTATACACTTTTAAATTGAATTATTTTGTTTTTTGTTAAATATTTGTAATCACTTTGCATATTTAAACCAAGCACAAGCACTCACTAGATTCTTGTGTGCACTTTCATGGCTCTTTGTGTGTTATTTTTTTGTATTCCTAAGATGTGACACTCAAACACACACTCGAAAAAAAGACGGTTAGGTTAAGATCCTTTTCGGGGGGCATGTGGTGGCTGCCTTGGCCAATCGATTAGTGGCAACTGAGTGTTGGCCAAAAGCAGCTGGTGGCTACCTTTTCATGGTTGCGGTAACTGGATGAGTTGCTGCTGCTGCGGTTGCTGCTGCTGCTGCTGCAGATGTTGCTGCTGCTGCTGCTGCAGATGTTGCTACTGCTGCTGCTGTAGGCTTGGGCATTAAGCCAGATGTTGTGGCTACTGTTTTGCGGGGTATTTGCTGGTTCTTTGGTACACTGAAACTGTTAATTAATTCGCGTTCCGATTCGTTAACTGCATTTGAAATACTGTGAAGCGCGAAATTCAGTTGGTGTTGCCCGTTGCTGCCCGCCGGGGGGCGGGGGCAATCTGATGCATCAGCGTTTTATACGAAACGAAACCGCACTGAGACCAGCATTGAAGACCAACTTTAAATTCAAATTTAAATTCATTCTATGGCCGCTACAACTGCTCGTAACGGTTAACACGAACTATAACTATAACTATAACTATATATTTATGTAGATGTACATATATATATAGTGTCTGCACATATATCCGTGTCCCACGAATGAAAGCACCGTTCGCCTCGACCAGCCAAACGCGAATAGCCAGCGCCACCGAGCACTGAATGCTGCAGACCAAACGCCAAACGCCATCGAGTGGCCGCCACTGCTTCCTCTTCGGCTGCTCCCGCTTCTGCTTCTGCTTCTGCCCCTTCTCCTTCAGCTTCTTCTCTAGCTGCAGGAGGAGTGGGGGGGCAGTCGGAGATGCCGGGCAAACCGGGCTCAAGCTGTCGCCGTACGCAATATTATCAAATGGCCAACGGCGAGGGCGGCTCAATGGGTCAGAAATCGTTGGGGATTTTAAAATTCAACAAAACTTAAGCAACAAAAGCATGATTTTTAAAGAACTTTTAACATTTTAGGGATGTTTAAAATAATATTAAAATTTAAGCTTGATTTTGAAAGAATTTTCGAACATTTTAAGGATATTTAATAAGTTAAAATTATATTCTTATCATGATTTTAAATTGTTTAATAACCTTTAGCTTATTTAAAGGAGATTCTAAGATAATATTCTACTTAATAAGACTTCTAGTAAATGTTAAAATGTTGAAAAGGTGTAAAACCATGCCACCAACTGGGACAAATTTAAAATAAATAGCTTACACTTAGTTCAAGGCTTTTAAAAAAATATTTTAAATAAATTTCCATCCCTTAGAAGTGGGAAAACAATTGCAGATTGAGCATATATATTGAGAATGTTATACAAAAAATTAAAATCTATATTTTGTATTAAATAAAAATAGAAATAAAATCTTTACACTATATAAACAATTTCGATTCGAAGATTTTATAAAATGTATAAATTCTATGAGTCTATTTATAACGCAGATAAATATATATATAAATTATTTAATAATATTATCAATAAAATAATATATATGTATAATAATAATATATATTAATAATATTTATTATATAATAATATTATTAATATATAATATAATATATATAATTTAATAATATTATTAAATAATTTATAAATATATTTTTCTGGTATAATTTAAAGGAATTATTCATCATTTCTAAACTTGTATTGCAAACCTTTTTGTAGTTTAAAAATAAATAAATAAAAAAATTACCTCAAAAACTATCCATGAAATACATGCTAAAAATAAGTAAAACTCTTCAAACTACCCTCGCTTTCTTTGGGAATATAAACACAAGAAGCAGCAACTTTGTTCATTGAGGTGTCTTTCGCCTGGTAAATTACCAAACGGTTTGCGACGAGGGAGGAATGAAAGGTTTTGAAATAAAAACTAAGCTTAAAATTGAAATTAAGATTTGTATTATTTATATAGAAATATATATATATATATCTTACAAAAAAGCTTAAAATTCTTGGAAATTATTAGGAATTCTTTGAAAGTATTTTAAGATAGGAAATATCTTATACTATAATTATTCTAAAATATAATTCAATAATTATAAAACAGCACGATTATATTTATGAATAATTTTTAGCATTAGATATTTTCCAGTTAAAAATATTTTAAAAAGAATTCCCTTTAATATCCAATTAAAAATCTATAAAAAAATGAACCTATACAAATTTTACACATAAAATGTATGTGAAAAATTAAAATTAAAGACTTCCAATTCACTAAATCTTTAAATTCATATACATTTTTAATGAATATAAATTTTCAAAAAATTGTATATTCAACCAAATGATACTCTTTAGCTGCCCTCGCCCTCACTCTTGTTGCTTTCTGTGTCGCCGTGTCAGCTGTCATGTCAATTGATCTTGCCTTGGCGCTTTATAAATATGAATTTCAGGCCGGCAGATCGGCAGAGGAGGCAGAGGAGGCGAAGGAGGAGGAGGAGCCATAGCTTGGATTGGACTCTGGCATTGATTCTGAGACCGATTCCAAGACCAATTCTGATTCTGATTCTGATTCCTTGGCCAGTCCGAAGTTGCTCCACTTCGGGGAAACTTGTTGCAACGGTGCTTTGTGGAGATGCCAGTTTACCAGTTTGACTTCAATTGAAAATAGCACACGATGGACTCGGATCTCGTTGGTTGGGTTGAGATCTGCTGCGGCAGCATCTCGCTTGGCTGCCTGGCTGGCTTGCCTTGGCCGGGGCATTCGGCTACTTATTCTGCCACAATTAAATGAATCAGCTTTGGACGCGTGCTGCTTGCAGGAATTTAGGTGAGTCCATGGTCCATACGCTGGCCCACTTGGTGGAGTTTGGACTAGGTCTTCTTCTCTCTCTCTCTCTCTCTCTGGTTTTTTCTACTTTGCTGGATGATCTAATAGGCTTTAATTGGTGCATTTAATTAACTGAAGCCAGCAATCAACGCCAAGTTGGGCCTTGATTGATTCAGTTTATGATAAACAGATCGTTACGAACCAGAAAAAAGCTAGGAAAACTCAAGGAAAACTCAAAGAAAACTCTTGTATCTAAAGGCTTAGAGCATCTTTTAAAGAATTAAAACAATTGACATAGAAAGACTACAAGTAATACACTTATTATTCCATCCAGAAGTGTGGCAGAGAAATGCAAATAATGAATGCTGGTAAATGGAAAGAAAGAAACTCTTCGATTGGAAATGCAATGCCAGTCGGTGGGGGGAAATGATAAAGCACACAAAGTGGTCTCTGGCAATCGATAGGCAAACGATTTCCCCTCCATCGAGAGACACACATGAACATAAAGAACCGCTGAAAAGCTTTCACCCCTCTACAAACAAATTGCGTGCAACTCAGCTCTACAAAAGTATCTCCTAGATACAAGGTAACCACTTTTGTACTCACCAAATATCCACGGATGCGGCCACCAGCAGTTGGACACAGTCCAGGCAGCCTCTGGCTGCGGCATAGTGCAGGGCCAGTGCTCCTCCGTTGGGTCTTTCGCTGCCGGAAACGCTCCCCGGATGATGCATCTGGCCCAGGTTGCCACCACCCATTTGGTTGCTTAGGTTCATCATTCCCATGCCGCCCACTCCGCCCAGGTACGAGTCTAGCTGGTGGGCGTGCATTCTGCTCAGATTGTGGCTGGGATTATTCGCTGGGATTTTATTGCCGGACAGATTGTTTGGTTTGTTGTTGCTTCGATTCAGGTGAGGATTCGAGCTGAGCGCATAGTCGTTTATGGTTCTGGGGGAAAAAAAGGAAGAAAATTTGAAATTAAAAATTAATTTGAAAGGGAAAATAAAATTGAAAGGGGTATACATTTCATCAAAATAATTTTAATTTAATTTACTTAATTATTTTAAATATCAAATGTATAAGAATAATAAATAAAAATCTTTTCTATAAGTTTTTAGTTAAAAAATAAATATTTAAAAATAGAGCCAGCTTTAGAAAACTTTCTAAAAATTAAGAAATGTTTTGAAAAAATGTATGTAAATATATAAGAATAATTCACCCAGCCTAAACTTTATTGTTGTCTACTTTTTGGCTTCACAGCAAAAGCAAATCGCAGTCAACTTTGCTGCAGGCCAAACGAAAGACTTAAGACACAAACTTGAAGTTAAGGAAATGTGCAAAGCCAAAGAAAGTTAATACAAAAAGCTAAACATTGAGCTTTTCTTTAAAGAAAAATATGGATTTTTTAAAGATAAATTAAAGTAAATATTTAATAAATGTTTAATTAATTAAGAATAAATATAAAGTGTAGTTTTTAAGTAAAGAAAGTAAAAAAAACCTAAATAAGACCCGAAAGTCAAGGAACTTAGATTTAAAAAATAAATTAATGTATATGTATATAAATATATATATAAAAATATATAAATATATACATTTGCATCAGGTAATAAATTTATATATATAATATAAGTATATATATAATAAGTAAATATATTGAATTATAATAAATATAGAATTTTAAAAAATATATCTAAATATATATATTTAGATATTTATTTATTTATAAATGAATTTATATTATATTTATTTAAAAATAAATAAATAAATATATTTAGATATTTATTTAGATATTAATTTATAGTTCCTTATATTTTTATATAATTAAAAATATTTATTTAGATATTTATTTATAATTCTATATTTTTGTTTATTATATATATTTATATTTTTTATATACATATTTTTTTTATTTATCTTAATAAATTTAAGACTTGTCACAAATGTATATATTCTAAATTGCAGGACAACTTTCTTTGTTTTCAGGCGTTTTTTTTAAGACGATTTTTAAAATATAAAAAACTATTTCTACGAGTGCCCAACAAGTTCAGTAAACAATAAAGACCCACTGGCACCCTAGCTCCCTTTAACCGCGCACCTTGTAATTAAAAACCTAATTAATTGGCCGCGGAAAGTGCTGGCAATTAATGTTGATAGCATCTGCTGTCTGCATCTACTATATATGTATGTTTGTTATGTACCAAGTGCACTGGGGTTCACTGGGTGCCCTTTTCCGAATCACTAAACCAGGTCAAGTCTGCGGCTGCTGACTCACCTGATTGCCGGCCTAATGATAATGTTTGACAAAAACAATACTAAACACACGACAACAAATTAATTGCAAGGCGGGCAAGAGAGCATTAAAAATGCGAAAAATACTCGTCTTGTTGTATGTTGTTTTGTGGATTGTTGTTTGTTGCTCGTTGTTTGCTTTCCCATAAAGAAACAGAAAGCCGCAAAGACGACACTTTCTTCCAGTTTATTGCATCAACGGAAAAATGGAAACGGGCCGGTGGTAGCAGGTGTCAACAAAAGCCCAAAGAAAACCCACGAAACCCGCTAAAACCAACACAAAAATCTGACTAAACAAAACCCACTAACTGTTGCTCAGAAAAAAAAAACAAAAAAAAAAGTGAAATAAATGATTTGGCAACCGCCGTGCAGCAGGCCAGTTGGCCAACCAAAGTGGCAAAAGGAGTTAAGAAAATTATGAGTGCCAGGGATAAGGGTGTTAAGAGGTCTGAAAATTAACCGATCCTTGGTTAGTGATAATAATTTGTTAGATAATTAAATATTTAGATATTTAAATAACTATAAATAAATGAATTATATAATTTTTTAGATAATTAAATATCTTAAACTATAAATATTTCGAGAATAGATTTGAATGAATGAAATTGAAGATTTTTAAAGGTATTTTAAATATGTATACTGTCAGAAAATGAATAAAAATTTAAATGATTAATTTAATAAAATTTGAAAATTATTTCCATAATTTATAATAATTTTTCGATGTATTGTAATTTCTCTGCTCTTCAAAGCATCTTCATAAATCGATTAGTTTCTGGATATTTAAATATGAAAAACAAGGGAATAAAGAAAATAAAGAGAGAGAAATGGGGTGAAAGAGAGGCGAAACCCAAGAAATAACAAAAAAAATATATAGAAGAACAGAGAACGGAAGAAAATAATCATTTAAGTAATAAAGCTCGTGTAGCTATGTCTGCCTGTCTCTATATCTATTTAATGGGAAATCTTTTGCAATTGGAAGCTGAGGCCCTCTTGTGGGAAATTTGCATGTGACTGGGAGTTTTGGCCAAGAGTTGGCACAACCACCAACAGATAAATCAATAAAAAATTGGTTAATTAACAAAATAAACAGAGGAAAATAAAGATTGATTAGCAGAAAAGGTTTGAAGTAAGCAATGAGTTTACAGGTCATTTTAAGGAATATTTTTAAAGAAATATTGTTAAAGAAATATTGAAAAATATATATAATATTTAAAAAAAAATATTAAAGATTATATATAAAAAATATATTTTTTAAAAAAATTTTAAAGAAATATTTTTAAGGAATTATTTTATAAGAAATATTTTATAATAAATAAATAAATATTTTTAAAGAAATATATATAAAAAAAATTGTAAACAAAAAAAAATTTTTAAGTATTATTTTAAAACAAATATTTTTAAATATATATATTTAAAGAAATATTTTCAAATCAATATTTTTAAAGAAATATATATATATTCTTTAAAGAAATATTAAAAAATATATATATTATTTTAAAGAAATGTTTTTCAAGAAAAATGTTAAAAGAAATATTTTTAAAGAAATATTCATAAACAAAATATTTTTAAAGAAATATTCATAAACAAAATATTTTTAAAGAAATATTCATAAAAAAAATATTTTCAAAAAAATATTTTTAAAGAATTATTTCTCTACATTTTTAAAAATATATTTTTAAAGAAATATTCTTAAGGACATGTTTTTAGAGAAACATTCTTAAAAATATATTTTTAAAGAAATATTTTCAAAAAAATATTTTTAATGATATATTTTCAAATAAATATTCTTAAAGATATATTTTAAAATTAATATTAGAGAAAATATATATATACACCCGTCTCTCTTTCTATTTTAATGACACTTCACTGTGGCTAATTGATTTTGGCGCGTGTGTGTATTTTTAAGCACCGTTTTTCTGTTCTGATTTTAGCAGAGTTCAAACTTGGTTTGTCGATTTCTTTTGCACAGAAAAAAAAAAGCTTTACACTTGAACGAATTCTTGTCAAAAGAAACCTCATAATTATGATGTTTATCCACGATTTATATACCTCAATTTAATGGCAATATCGCGGCACTTGACGCATGGCACTTGGCCGGACTCCTGGGACTCCTGCTGGTCGCCCTTCTCCGGCGGCGGGGCTATGGTGGCATACTGGGCCTCCTCCTGCTCCTCCTGCTCTCCTTCTGTTTCACTGGCAAAATCCACCACCAGCTCTTCGACATTCTCCTTGCGGTCCTTCTGCTGCAATTGCCGTCGACTGAAGTAGCCCACGTGCTGATCTACGCCAGCGCTGGCATCCAGGAGCACACGTTCGTAGGCGGCACTCTCGTTCTCGCTGAGGGCAAACCGCTGCTCAAAGACCCGCACGGGCAGGGCACTCTTGCGCAGGACCTCCATCCTCTTGTGCCGCAGCTCAATGGAGAAGATCAGTCGCACCCGCACCAATCGCCGCAAACCCTGCTGCGAGGTCCTGGCCCGCTGCAGACGCCGACGCTGGTGTCTTAGCTCTAGTTTTTCCAAACCCTTGAGGGACTTGGGATCCACCAGACCATGATTGTAATCCGCCACAGAGGTGAGATCTAGGGCGGATCTGGTGCGACGCCAGGGCACCAAATCAAAATGAGCACCGGCCCACGGCGGGAAGTTCACCTGGCTGACGTTGGTGCTGCGATCCTGCTTCAAAATCCAATCGGAGGCGGAGGCGGAGGCTGTCTTGGCCGCTGTCTCCTTGCTGATTCTCACGAAATCGTTGCGGGCCGCCGCCTGCGGTTTGTGTCTCTTGTAGCGTGGCACCAGGGTGGCCTCCAGCATCCGGGCATCCAGTCCGTAGTCGCGACGCAGCTGCTCCAGCTCCCTGCTACTGGCGGTAAACTGAGCTCCGTTCCACACGATCACCGGCTCGCAACTGGCCATTGTGGTGGTAGAACCACAGCCACAGCCACAGCCAGAACCAGAGCCCCGATCCCAACAAGAACCAGAATTCCGCCGAAAGTTCTCTTCCTCCCTCTCCCTCTCCCTCCTCTCTCCTCTCTCTCGTTTTATTTCTCTGTTAATGACTGAGTTGCGTTCGTTATTTTCTAATTTCGTTTTCCGGTTTACGTTTTCCGTTTGCCGTTTCGCATTTGACGTTTTCCGTTTCCGTTTGGTTTATGTCGCGATTGTCGCGTCTGCCTTCCGTGACGTTAGCTACGCAAATGCCGCTGGCTGGCCAAAAAAATCCAACTCCAACTCCGATTCCAATTCGGAATCCGCATCCGAATCCAAAAACGAATCCAATGTCTATGCAAAAAGTTGCGCCAACAGCGCAGTCAGCGCCAAGCCATGATTAAGAGTTTTTTTTTTTATTTTTTGTTATTGTTATTATGGGCTATATTGTTGGAGTTGCTGCTGCTGCTGCTGCACTTGAAAAAATTAGCAGCGAATAATGAGGAAAATATTTCTGAGAGGGGAATTAAAGCATAATAATATTTTTAAGGTTTTTTAGAATTTTTCTTATCAATTTTAAAGGTTAATTTTAAGGAATAAAGTACTTAAAAACTTGTTCTTTGGTCTTTCATAATTAAAAAAATAAAATAAAATAATGTATATATAATAGGGAGAGGAATTTCAGCATAATAATATTTTTAAGCTTTTTAGAATTTTTTCTATCGATTTTATGGGTAAATTTGTATGAATAAAGTACTTTTTATTGTCTGTTTTTTCATAAATAAAATAAAATTAAAATTAAAATATATATATATATATATATAATAGGGAGGGAAATTTCAGCTTTATATTTTAAATTTTTCTAGAATTTATCCTATACATTTTTTTTAAATTAAATTTATACGAATAAGGTAGTTTCAACATTTTTTGTATGGTTCCCTAATAAATAAAATAAAATATAAAACATATATAAAAATGTAATATATAATAAAATTTATAATGATATTTTATTATATATTAGATTTTTATATATTTTGTATTTTTTTATATTTAATTTTATAAGCTTATTTCATATTCCTATTAAAATAGCAAAGCTTCCACTAATTTATTTACCCAATAAAACTAAAAAAATAAATTATAAGTGCTTCAAAGGGGCCTCGTTTTCTTAGTTTAAATATTAAACTAAAATAAGTAACTGATAAAAAAATTAATTAAATAAAATAATATATTTTTAAAATATTAAGAGATTTTTTTAAACAAAAATAAGATTATGTTAAATCAAGTAAATAAATTTTATAATTTATTTTTATATTGTTGAGAGATTTTTTTTAAATAAAAATTAGTAAATTAAATTTTTCCACTAAATTAATGATAATTTATTTTTATATATATTTTTCTTTTACAAAATTAAATAAACAATAAAACAAATAATTACATTTTTTGTATATATTTTTATATTGTAAACTGATTTTCTCCCAGTGCACTGCACCGCTGTTTGCTCAACATTGAAGAGTCGCGAGAGCTTAGCTACCCCCTTCGCTGATTGTATTATTTATTTATTTTTCACGCTCACTGCCATGTCAACTCTGACGACTGCCCTCTGCTCTCTCGGCTCTGGGGCAACCCTCTGCCCAAGTCTCACTTGGCTGCGCACGCGTCATGAAAATGGTAGAAAAAAAAACAACAAAAAACAAAAACAAAACTAACAATAATATTAACTAAACTCCATGGATGGGGTCGATCGCAAATTTGAAATTCAACGCTCGGGTTCAGTGTTCTATTCTCAGCTAATTGCCAGCATCGGGCCATTGGCATTGTGGCGGCCAAATTACTTAACAATGCAATGAATCAGGCTCTATTTAGGGTTTATAAAAATTTAGAAAAATAGGTAACTATGTATTTAAGGGGGAAAATATGATTACCACAAGTGGGTATTGAAAAGGTAAAGATCTAGTGAGTTTTAAAAGGCAAATTTCTAATTAAGGAAATATTCATAAACCTTAATTTCTAATTTCTCCTCCTAAAATGTACATATATCATCAGTAAACTTATTAAAATTATTTATAGAAAATTAAAATTTATTTCAACATCACTTCCAAGTAGCCTTAACTGAACAACTCCAACTACTAATTTGCATAGAAAACATGTAATTAAGTTGCAAAATATCCGAATAACGTTCAAAGTTCTTGTTAGCCAGTTAGTTTTTCTTTTTTTTTTTGAACAATTTCCACATGAAGAGCTCAGCTTGAGCATGCCAAATATCAATTATATATATATATACCTCCAAGTACTTGTTTCTATATGCATAATTCTACGGACTCAACTCAAGCGTTGCGCAAAAATAAATGAATTGAAGAGAGAGCCTAGGGAGCAGCTGCCTAATGGGTTCCAGCTTCTTGGGCAAACCCTTGGGCAACCCTGCTGCCCCCATTCCATCCTCAGTTTTTCACCTGCCTTTTCCACCTGTGCATTTGGGAGTCACATGCGTCATGACAGCGTGCTCAGTGGGCGTGAAGAGTTGCCATGATTTCTGGTTCAATGGCGACTTTAGTCTCTATATAGAGTGTCATTCTACGCATATTATAAAATATTATTACGTGCTTCTACATCCGGTAAAGTAAAAATTCCTAATAAATCTTTAGTACTTAAATATTAACTAGTGCCTTTGAGGGTTTATAGTAATGCCTAAAGTCTGTTGGCCGCATGGCTTCTTTCGCTTTCGGTTTGCATCATCATTTCGCTCCCTTTTGACCCAAAAAAGGCCCCCAAAAAAATGAAAATGAAAAATGCCCGGGCCAAAAGATGAGCGCCATTAGGTGATCTCTGGCAGATGGCAGTTGGCAGTTGGCTTAGAAAGGCTGCCATTGAGGTGGCTGTCATAATGCAAATATAACAGAGCACATTATAAAAAGCTGGTCGGTGGTTGCCCATCCGCATTTCACGTATTTCCTATTCAAATTCAAATTTTGCCGAAGGTTGTCGCTTGCAGAAATCGCATTCAGTGACATACATTCAATGGCAATAATACAAATAATTATAATAATACGAATTTATTTGTTATATTTCTTATTTACATTTATATTAACTTAATCTTTGGCTCTTGGCGAAAATTGCGCAAGGAGTTTGTTTAGGGATTTTGGGATTTCGGTTTTATGGGGGATTATCATAAAGATAATGATAAAGATAAGATAATGCCAGAACCGTTAGCTTATCTTGAACAGAAGTCGTAGAGAGTTATATTTTATTGTTTAAAATCTTATCTAAAAGAAATTAAATTGTATTGTTTTAAGGGATTTCTCTTTAAACAATTTCTAGTTATTTTTTTTTTAATTTTGTATAGAAGCTAAACTCAGAAGATTTGGCAATTATTTTGATTTTTCCATAGAAATAAATTAAATTAAATTGTTTAAATTTTTTGTTTCTCTTCAAACAATTTCTAGTTATTTTTTACAAATTTCTTATATAAATAATCGTTTATCTTGGCAATGATTTTATTTCTTCTATAAAATAATAAAATTAAATTATATTGCTTTGAGGATTTCTTCTTTAACAAATTCTAGTTATTTTAAATATGAGATGATTTTTTTAAATTTTATTTTGGCAATTATTTTGATTTTTCCATAAAATAAATTAAATTATATTGTTTAAATTTACCGTTTCTCTTTGAATAATTTTTGTTTTTTTTTTTTTAATTTCTTATAAAAACTAAACTCTAAAAAAGATTGATTTTTTAATTTTATTTTGTTGATTTTTTTATAAAAAAATTTTGCTTAGGTATTTTCTAGCCAAAAATAACTTATTTCTTTGACGAATAATTAATAATAAACTAAAGCTCTTGTAAATACTTTAGGTTTTCTTAAATAAATAATTAAAATTATAAATAATTATGATAGCTTATAATTCTAGAAGAAGTTACTCTAGTTTTTTAGCTAAATATATATAAAAATCGTTTTTAGGGAGTGGCAACTTCTGGGCTTGTCAACAAAATACTATTCAAAAGTGCACTTCCTGGTGTCAAAAACTAAAACTCATAACGTTAAAGTTAAACAAATAAAGTCAATTTAAAGGCTGGCTTTAGAAAATGAAATGCAAGACAGGTTTATAATACAATAGGTTCAAGAAAAATGATGAGATTTGAGGTAGAACTAAAATAATATTAATAATATATAATAAAGATAAATATATAATATTTATTTATTTATTTAATGCTAACTAATAGTTATAAACTAAAAAGTTAACAAAGGTTAAAGAGCAATGGCTACCGAGGCCTTCCGCTCTAAATATATAATATAAATAATCCATTGAGAGCTTTAATTTCTGGATAAAGTTCTACCCATTATAATCAAATTTATTTAAATTTTAAATCTAAATATTACATTTAATTAATATTTATACGAAAAACTGAATACCTAATTTAAAAAATTACATTCAAAATAAATGTTACCCCCGAAACCTAATTTTAATTAAAGTTCGTACCACCTTATAAACCAAATAGCCAACAATTTAAATCTTTATTAATTTCACTGACCCAATCTGGGCTTTATTTAACGCACCTAACGGCTGGCAAACTATTAAGTAGCCCAACAACTATACCAAAATATGAAAATAAACAAACCGAAAACACCCGAAATCATCAAATAGACAAATGCTCCAGTGATTTTGAAGGGTAAAGTCATAAAAAAAATGAGGAAAAATAATTTCTTTTGGGCGGCTGGAAAACGGTTTGTAGGTAACGGATGGGAAATAAACATAAAAACCAAGACTCTCAACAACAAAAGCCATAAAAGCCAACAAAGGAAAATGAAATGTGGCTTTGAACCATTTAATTACGAATTTTCAGCCAAAATTGTGCAATACAGAAATGTGAAGAGCGTCGAAGATCGAGGTTTTAAAACGATATATATAGTTGTTTTAAGTGGAAATTTAGTTGACAATATTTATAGATATTTCTATATATTTTAGATATCATAAGGAAATAAGTAAAAAAT